GCACCAGAACAGTCCCACTCAATCCAGCATGCCATCAGGACGTGGCTGCCTACTATTGCCCAACTCGGGAGTTTCACCAGTCCATGGGTGAAATGGCTGTCAAAGGCAGCTGCACTTCAAGGGTTCTGATAAGAGTTGCACGAACACCACTGTAGAAAGTCAGTGCCCAAGTAAAGCAATGTAGACTTGCAAATGAGGAAGTCAGTGCCTTCATCAAGCTGATTACTGGGCATCCTGAGCAAGGACAGCAAGTAGCGGTGCCTTGGCAGCATTCCCACCACTTGAGCCATTTTAAAGGGAAGCCAGTTCTTCAGCCAGAGAGCACAGATCATTTTTTTTTCCTCCTCAATGTGAAATGCACTCTAAGCCACTTCCAGGGATGGATGCTGATGGCTGCAAGGAGATCAGTGTCTGAAAATGGGAACTCATGGAGAAAAATCATTACAGGGTGGGAAAAGTAGGGACACGGATGCTCCCCTGCTGCTCAGTAATGAGCACAGAAACTGCAGCGCCACCACTTCGTTACAGTGCTTTGGACATCAAAGAACCCACCTGCTGGGCTTTGGCTGGTTCAACCCCAGAGCTCAGAGGGCTGTGATGTGTTTCTCTGTATGAAGGTTGTGGATGGTGTTCCCGGCCTGCTCTGCTGAGGATTACTGCTACTGGCACGGCAGGACTGAAGCAAAGCTTCTTTTGTAATGGAAGTCCGAGTGCAGTAAGTCCTCCTCCAAGATGAGGTACCTCTCTTAAGGAAAAGGGAAGAGCAAATAACTGCTCAGCAGAGAGTAATGCCTTTGCAGTGGCTTTGTTTTCTCCCCATTTAAATGCACGTCTTGCCCAGGTAGAGAAGAGTGGTGAGGAGAAGAGTGCTACACAGCTGGAAAGCAGTGCACTTTTTCTAGCAAAGTAGGAAAGATCAACATTGGGTTTTGTAGATGTCTGCAGTGAACGGAAAGCAAAGCCTTTTCTGCTGGGCTGTACATTAATAAATGGTACCAAAATGCACCTGAAGTACAGGAGCGGTAGCAGCTGTAGGCACTGAGGAGACTTAATAAACACACTTAGTCCTGGCCTTACACATTTCACACCGCCCCTTGCTCACCACCAGCATGCACACCTCTGATTTGGCACTGGAAGTGTTCGGCAGTCTTGTGAGAGAGCTCTGTGACCTTTCACATGTTAAAGCATAGTTGTGTGGGTTTTTTTTCTTTTTTTTTTGTTAGCTTGCTGTTTTGGAAAGAAAACAGCAAAGATTTAGCAAAGTTCTATCAATACATGAAGTTTCCAAGGAGCAACATTTGCCCCCTCAGTGAAGAAGTGATCAGTGCTGGTAACAGCAGCTCTATACAGCTGTAACAATTTAGGAGCCTGAGGGATCCAAAGTAAGACCAAGACTCTGAAGAATTTAATTCCAAGATGATTGTTTTGCATAAAAATAGCTCCGCTCCCCCCCCCCCCCCAGTGTTTTAAACCTTGAGTTTTAAAAACCTGTTTTAAATAAGTATGTCCAAGGAGTAATTTTACTTACAGAGATTATGCAGCACACTCCTGCAATGATTACACAATACTATTTTCTGGTTCTACTTCTATCAACACTCAGCTTTAAAAATAAGGAAATATCTAATAATGTTATGAGTTATAATTAAGGCAACTCTAATGGGATTTTGTGGACTGTGACAGGCATCCCAAGTACAGCATCAGACAGAAAAGGGAACGACAACAGATGATTTCCAGGACACTGTAAGAATTAGCAACCATTTGGGTAATTATAAAGCTCCATTTTATAAAGAACCAGGAAACAAGATTAATTTATAAATCAGTTTATTTACAGATTTTGTTCTCTTAAAGTACATTTCAGTTATCAAAGATATTTACACTGGTGTACACAGGGAGTACCCTGGTTATCTTACAGTTCTTAATTACAAAAAAAACCCAACAAACAAAACCCCTCCACATCCTTGGGTCTACTGTGCAAAGCTGCTCTGGATGTGAACATCAGCTGAAACTGGCCCAAAACCCAAGTTACCAGGTTATTTACACATACACAGTAAACGGGCTTCTTTTCAGCATCTCCACAACACAGTACACAGGGAGATGGAGCCTCCCAAAAGGCAGCTTTGCAAATGTGTATCAAAAGGCTCTGCAAAGTCAGGGGAAAAAAATACTAAATGCAGGTTAATTACAGTATTCTTCTTTCATCTGTATATAATTTTGCATTTAACATTTAAATTACAAGAAAGTTCAACAGCTTGCTTTTCTCTGTTTTAGTTGATTTGTAAACACTTCAGATGCACTAAATACCTTATAAGAGTCAACTGTTTTTCAGCTGAAAAGTACTTTATTTTCCTAGTATTTTTAAGGTAGCAAAGGGATATGAACGTTGGAACTGCATGCAGCTCCTTCAAGAATAGTCATTTAAAAGGTCTCTATCACTGTGCTACTGAAGATCTTCTGCAGGTACACACTTATTCAAGTATTGCAAAAAGCTAAGGCCACTTTTTCAAGAAAGGAAAGTGAACAAGATGGGATTTTTCAATCCCTCATTCCACCCTGTGAGTAACAAGTCTTTTCTGAAAGGCAGAAGTACTGATACTCCACAGCTTGGCTTAGGGAGCATCCTGCTGTGACAGAGATACTCACACTCCTTGTCCTCACAAGCCTGGGCTTTCCTACCTGGCACCAGGATCGTTCTGAAGAGGGAACTGCATCTCCCCACTGACAACAGCCACTGCCCCAGACAGCTTAAGGGTCTCAGAAAAATGTCTCAGCCTTGAATCTTCTAATGTAGATGCACCAAGATAACCAGGACCCAGAAATATCATCTTGTTCTTTATAATGGGAGGGTTAGGTATTAGAAAGAAACAGAGAATTCAGTCTGTCTGTGAGACTCCAGGCTTCCCCATACCTCCTTGCTACCAGCTGTGACAGAGACAGACCATTTCTTCATCGCAGTAATCATCAGTCTACAGGTACTCAACAAACTTGAGTCTATACTCAACTCAAAGCAACTCAACACACTTGAGGTATTGAGAAGGTAATTCATGTATGTTCAAGTCTTTTTAGGGTTGCTTCTAGCAAGGATTGCTACCAAAAATAAACAGATGTTTGCAAAGGAATAACGCCATTAATTAGATACTGCTTCCTTCTGCCCAAACAGCTGCAAAAATAGTTACTACTAATGTTGAGGGTACTCAACTAGTGCTACCCAAGCCAGCAAGACAACAGGCACATGATCTCCAATGGTCTCTGGTACCACAGACCAACTGTACAACCTTCTCCCTGCTGGTGGGCAGTCCAGAAAAGCTATGCCAGCCCTGCAGAACAGCCAAAAAATTTCAGGGGAGCAGGACAACCTTCCTGACACCTGCCATGGTATTTACAGAAGAGAAACCAATTTTGTTTCTCTTATACTCCAGCTATAAATCTGTGCTGCAGGTTTCTGCCTTCTTTCTGTAACTGCTACCTATAAAAATAGCAATCCCCACTTTTGAAAGAGATACACCCAGGAAAGGGAATCTGAGGCGGTGACCCAATCAGTGACACCATGCTGGTTAAATATAGCAGCTTTAGTTTGCTTCTATCTTAAGCAGTCAAGAGTTTCTTGGTCCAGCACAATGACATTTTATGTGGACAAATGAATTACTTGGGGGGGCAGGGGGAAGGGGGGAAACCTGAACACTGCTCCACCAAGACCACTTATTTCCAGCTAGCCAGAAGGGCCACTACAGTGGGAAGAGACACAGACACACATATGCTTGTCGGAGGTATTCCTATACACCATTACCTCCTCCTCATTGTTCTTCCACTCATTAAGCTTCCATCAATATGGCTCTCCATTAACTCTCAAGTGAGGTGCTGGCAATACTACATCTGAGAATCTGCATGGACCTCTGACAAATCCAACATTTCCCAGTACTGTCCCTGAAGAATTACCAGCTATGTGTCATTGTGCAAAATGCAAATATTCCAATGATAGCTCCCCTCCTCCCCCCCAAAAAAGTGGAAAAGAAAACAAAATCAAGCACTAGCAGAGGTATGCATAGCAGGAAGCTCAAGAACCAAATGGATGAACCAAGTGGTAGAGATCCCTGCCACACCTATTGTGGGCTGCAGCATCTTTGGAGCAAATCAACCATGTAACAGCTGCCCATGGCCTAGAAGGTCTGGGATAGGAAGGAAACAGATAGAGCTTTTTCAAGCTCAGCCCACTCAACTCTCCACTGTCTCTGAACCAGGTGTGGTGAAGCTTTATTCCTAGTGCTTGCCTTTGTACCCCACCCCTGGTTACTGGGGTTTGGTTCTTCTCACCTTACCCCCATATTTGCCTCAAGAAGCTGGAGGTTTTGTGTGAATAGTACAGGGCTCTGGAATTTTCCAGAACAGATGCTTTCTCAAGTTTGGCTGTCTCAAAACTAAGACAGTGCAGCCAACTGCACAGGGCACTCTCCTATAATCCACTTAATAAATTATCTGAAGATAAATAAAAAACCCACAAGCACAAAACATGCAGACAGTCAAAGCACCAGACACCACTTTCTTTGGTGAATACACTCTGTTCTCTAAATTGTTCAAGTAACAGCTTCTCCGAGTTATTAGGGTGACAGTAAGGGAGGAAGCTGAGGGATTGAAGGCCAAATTTTTGTGAGGAAAAGTTTCCCACTCCTGCATGTCTCGTGCCTGAAAAAATCCTGAGTATCCATTATCTGGGAGCAGCTGATGCTCTAGGAAGAGAAGTGCTACATGGTAGGAGGAAAGCTGTCCACAGGCTCATCTTTAACACATTGGGCGGCCTTTATCTTGCTCCACCTTGGGACTGAAGCCTAAGTTATGTATGAAAAGCAGCAAGAATTTTTTACTTGAATGCAGAAAGCAACATCATCACCCTGGACTGGCTGGCACCACACCTGGCACCATGTCACAGAAGAAAGGTGAAGACCAACTTCACAGAAAAGGGAATTAAACTGGCTCTGGAGCAAAAGAAACTGATGCACATTGGTAAGGTTGGCTGCAGGAGAAGAGGTGTTAGGATTAGAACACTGTTCAGTATGGTAAGTCTCCATTTGAGACTAAAACCTGACCAAACCATTTCTTCTCCCAATTACTCACACTTCTAAAGACAAGGTGAATACTGATGGCTGACAGCCATTCCAGCAAAATAGCTAATATTCCAACTTACCCAAACCCTTTCAGAGAACAAGCTGAACATGTCAAAGCCCCAGGCCAGGGCTCCAGACAGCTGCTGACAGTTATGTGACGTAACTGTACTGGCACACGAACAGTCTTGACCATTCCCCAGTGCAGCCTCAAGTGAAGAATCAGCTTGTTCCAAATCCAGTGCAAGGTCTCTAATGGCAGTGGATGCAAATTCAGACTCTTTCAATCACATCTGAACTGCCTTTAAACCCCACACATGGAAGGAAGTCCAGCAGCAGCGCTTGCAGTGTGGAGAGTACATCAGGAGTCAGAAAGGCTGGCTTCTGATTCAGTGGTTAAGCAGCTGTAAGTTTATTTTCAGCACTGTTAGACAAGCAGCAGTCTCCGCTGTTTCTCATTTATCTGGTTGAGCACATCAACAGTGTCTCTGATTAAGGCCTCAAAGATCCCGTCTGCCAACTGCATCTTTACACACAGTTCATCCTCATCATAGTTCACCCATTGCGCTTCTTCCTCATGAAGTTCCTGTACCTTGGAGGATAGAAAGGCAATACAAATATTACAGTTGTGTTGCTTTAGGATAGTAACCCCTGCAAAGTTCCAGAAAGAGTCCAAAACAGCACACATCTGCCAACAACATATCTGTCTTTGTAAGAGATTACAGAAAAGGCTTTGAATAGCAAAATGAACACAGATCTATTTGAACCAGGCTATTTCACTGTATGAAAGCTTTCCACCTTTCACTGTAGTACCCATTTTTCACAAGTTTTTCATTTGAAAGAACTCAGCTAATGAGATACTCTTGGCCAACAGCAATCCCTAATTGTTTATTTGCAAGAAGCTTGATTCCATGCAGCTTAATCTGGTAAGAAATTGTGCAAGGGCCTGGAACAGGGTAAGGAGAAAAAGAAAAGAATTTTCTGCAGTTCAGTTTATGTGAATAATAATTAGAAAAACTAAAGGAAATAATTTTTCCAGTTCTTCTGTATAGGAAGACAAAATGCTGGCATGTGTTGTATGACAGTATTACAACTCCCTTTGCACAGAATATGCCATACTTCGTTGGATTTGACAGCATTATTACAAGTGCCATTACATTTAAAACAGTAACTCAAAAAATATTTATTTATTTCTATACCTAAACTGTTTACAAACAAAATCCTGTTTTACTGGCCACTGGCAAATAGGTGTTTGAGTAACAGACAGAAATATGCAATTTCATTCAGCAAATCAAAGTCTTAGCAAGACTCTCTCCAAACTGGACATTTCCAATTAAACTTCCTAAAAATCTGTCTTGGTGACCATTTCAGTATTACAGACATATCCTGACTAAGCTCAAACACTTGAGAAAGGAGTGGGTGCAAACATCACTCATTTAAAATGACGAAGAAAACCTGCTGAAAGCTCTTTCCCTGCTCAGCTTCAGCAGAAAGCTCCTCTGACTGTAATTCCTACACTCTGAACTGAAAATACATGTCCACATAAACAACTGAGCCAGACACTTAGACACTGACAAAACAAGGTTAAAACATACTGAAAATCCAGTATTTCAGTATCAGTATCTAATGTTATCATCTAAACAGAGTACTGGTGCTATACCCCCAACACCCTTCCTTTTGCCTGAAGCTAAACCACCCACAAATTTGTCCATTTGGAAGATGACAGCTGCTGTAGCCTAATGATGATTCAATAACCCAAACACAGTGTGAAGCCCAAGATCAGGCTGCTATGGGAACTGGCACTGCTTCAGGGTTTGCAGCCACTCATAAGGTCTTAGTTGTACATGTGGTTTCAGTCTGACAGCTTCTTTCTCCCACTCTTAAGAGAGCTTGAGGAGAGGAGCTGGGATTTCATCCTACAAAGAGCTTTGTAAGAGTCTTGCTATGTGCTCACAAATCTGTGCTACCACAGCGAGCACTCCTCTTTGGCACAGCCCTCATTTCCTATATAGCTGTCAAAGGTGAGGTGTTAATGGTTTCATTACACTTCTTACTAACAAGGAAGAAGCAACAATATTGGCAATCAAATTTTGAATGACTGTTGTAGGTGAAAAATAATTTAAAGTGAATGCTAATAAGCAGCAGGTAATTGGGTCTAAGTTTGTGTAGACATGGATGTCTGAAACAGACTTCTGAACTCTCCAGCAGAACTGTGCTCCCTGCAAACACTATGTACTGGCTGTAAATGTTGACAAACACTGGGCTAAAGAATAGCAGCTTGTCCCAGGTCCTTCCATCAATAAAGAGGCATGAGATAGAAGCACCGATCTGGAGACTTATCATGTGCTGTGTGTCTGCATCACGGACTATTTAGATGAGGAAAAGCAAGATACAGGGGTCACAAAAAGAAGAGGTGGTGCTAAAAAGAAAGGTTCCCAAAAAGCAGAAGTGGTCTGGGAAGGAAAACAGGGGTCCCAAAGAGTGAAGGGGAAGATCCTGGCTGTAGGCGAGATCCTGGAAATGGGGGAAGAACCTGGAGATGATGGAGGTGGGTGGAAACAAATGCTGGGTGGGGCACACCCAGGGACCTTGACCAATGACACCCAACACTGGTTACTGAGAGCACTGGCACCACACCAGTGGTGAGATTTTCTACTGGGCCCTCCCAGGCCAGCAGTGGTCTCACTGCTGGGAAGCGAAGTCAAGACCTTGTGAATGTAACGCTGGGGGTGTGTGGAAATGAGTGAGTAAAATAATCAAGCAGGCTAAAAGCTTTGATCACACTGGCCCTTAAGTAAACCCCAGTATCAAGATCCACACTAGGGTGCTGTTTATTCTGTCTCACCTGCAACAACATGATGGGACAATTCCTTTACTGTGCTCCAGGAGGGAAAAGAGATACATGGGATAATATAAACAGGTGAGGAGAAGGTAACATGATCCAGGCAGAAAAGGGCTGGATGTTAAATAGCAGTAGAAAGATGAAGAAAGGAAAACTGTATCAGTGACTAATTTTCTCTTGCCTCTGCCATTCCCCTCTCAGATACTCAATTTCCTTTGACATTAGGACTTCCTCGATCGTAGTTCTGGAAAACTAAAGAGAATATGCAATTTGTGTGCGTGTATAAATATATATGTATGTTCTGAATATAGTGTATTCAGAGCATGTAGGGAAACCGCTGTGCTGCTTTGCAGCCGTAGCTGCAGACATCTGAGCCAAGGCAGTTGCAACTCCTCAGCCAGGGAAAGGTTTGACCCATTTGCTGTACTACCACAAACTTCTAAGCAATGGAGAAAGTTTGCTTGTATTTGGTGACTACTACAGCTTTGATGGAAATGGACTTCGCACTGTCTTTAGCACATGCAGAGCATTGAAGTTCCTGTACATTGTTGTGACAAAAATAAAACTTCGCATATTTGATATGGAGAAGTTCTCTATAGCAAAGAGAAACTGCATTTGGGCAAAGTCAGGAGAACAAGTTTTAATGAAACTGAATTCTATCCCGCAGGAAAAGATAAACAGTGACACAATGCAGAAGGCTGTTGTATGTTTGTTTGTTTTTTTTTTAATGTGCACTTTTTTTTTGTACTCATGTTTGGTTTTTTTAAACACAGAAGGAAAGCAAGGGGGTATGCACACAAAAGAAAAATCATGAGATAACAAAATAGTGTGACCTTGCTGGCCATTTAATAAATGCTACAGTACCCAAAGACATCACTTAATATAATCTGGCAGTAACTTTAAAGAGTAACTTATTAAGTTTTGATTTCTGAAGGTTTCCATTCAAAACATGAGTATCTGCAAACTAAACTACATTTGATGACTAGATCATTTAGGAGAGTAAAACTGCAGATGTAAACTAGTGCCTTGGAAGAACACCAGTAGCAGGAAGGCAGGCAGATGCATTCTCACAGCTTTTTGCTCTCCGAGTGTCTGGCAATCTTAAGACCCTCCAGTGTGCATGCAAACAGGCTTTGATTCTCTTTAACTGTTAACATTCCCCTTGGGTTTAGGCCTCAGGTGCCGCAGAAGTGGGCCTTGCCATTACGCCAGCTTTATAGGAACAGCTTTGCTTTGTTACAGAGTTTCTGCACGGAGAGAAACACCTTAAATGTTAAGTCAAAAGGTTAGAAGATCAAGTACTTTTCAGCACTCTGTTGGCAGGCTTCTCAGGTGCAAAAGCTAAACACATAGGCTTGGCAGTATCATGTGAGCTTTGCTTTCTCAAGCTGAGGATAAAAGGGAAGGGAGGGTGGCAGGGAAAGCAATAGCAGAGTTTGTTTTAACCCCATGCAAACTGAGCAATACCAGGAGTTTTTGGCTGAAGACCCAAGTGGAAAAAAAAAAAAAAAATAGCAGTAGAAACGGTCAATTGTTAGCATTTGAACTTAAATGAGGAGATATGAGAGTTCTTACTGTGGCTGAAACAGAGGTTTTGAAAGATGAAGGCAGCCCTGATGAACTGAAATGCAGCACCTCAGCCTACATGTACATTTGTGATTTTCCCACAAAGCAGAGACAGCATACACATGATAAAGGTGGCAACATGAAGGGACAGGAGAAGAAGAAAGCAAATACCTAAACATTCCTTTAACCTTATTTTAAACAAACTAGTTTCTCATAAATGAGAACTTCCCTGTACTTATTTACTGAAGATTTGCTCCAAATGTTAATAACTGGAGCAACTATCCAGCAGACAAGAAAGTTCTCTTAAGAAATCCCAATATAAATGCCTTCTGAGGACCAAAATGCTTGATCAAACTTAACAGTGCTGCAAAAAAGGGTAAGAGGAAGATGTTCCTTTTTTTTTTGTCACTGGTAGGAAAAAAAAATAATAGGCTAACTGTACTGGTGTCAATGCTAGGGAAGCACAGACAAAAGTGCAAATGCAGTCAAGATGCATTCCCAGCATGTGTGATGGCTGACTGCAGTCACCCACAGGACCCAGATCACAGAAAAGCAACAGCGCAGCACAGGCTGCTTCTACTGCCCTGCCCCTTCCCCACAAGGCTGAACCTTTGGTGGAGATGAGAACATCTAGGAACTGGGTGTAGTACAATAAACCCAGAAAGACACATCCAGGGATAATCAGTGAGAGAGTAAGCCTGGCACTTGCTTCTGTACCTTCAGAAGAAATTAAGTCATGCCTAGTTCCTGGGTCAGACAGTCCTGGACAGTCAGATGTGTTCAACCCTCTCACTGAAGTAACTAATAATGCATAGTTGCCTCAACAGAAAACTATCAAAGGATGTTTTAATTTGAAAGTTAGTTTTGCTTGGGGAAATGAAGAAACTGGGAAGGACCTGTGCTTGAAGTTTATGTGCAAATTAACAGAAGCCTAAGAATGTTTACCTCTGCTTTAAAGAAATCATGTTTTACTTTAACAGTCTTTGTCTTTGTAAGTGGCAAAAGAATGTGAAGAATCAATCGGCTCATAGGTGCTCACGTGACATCTCCTGCACATTGCAAGAGGTGTATATTGGGTAAATCTTCACAAAAAGTTGAACATTTTTTATGATGATTTCTAGAGAAGCTTCCACAACACCTAAACTTAACAAAAAAGCCTTGATTTATCTTTCAGGAAACTGCTGTATTGCACTACTTGAATATACTTTGAACAAGATTTGTAAAACTCCAAAAGTGACCTCTCCGTTTAGGGCTACACCGTGAGTGTACCCACTACTAGGGGGTAGGTAGCAGATCTCTTACAGGCCTGTATATCTGCTTACGACCTAGGACTTGTGTTATCACAGAACTCATGACCTTAAGCACAAGTTGGAGGCTCACTAGGAGACAGAGAAAGCTATCCAGATACTTCATGTTTTATAGAAATTGTAATAAAACAAGGTAAGATAAATTGAACACTCCTTACATTTTCAGTCAGAAGTTTCTCTTATGGTGTCTCACATTACAGTATGAATTTGCTAGCACTGCCACCAGGACAGCCTTATTCCTAAACCACTGCTGCAACCTTCACAGAGTTATTCCCAGACTTCAGCTAAAATTTTATTACCGTATTCTTATGAGAACAGAATAAAATTAAACACATTGCTTATTAAGCCAAACTTGTCAGAGCTCCATTAATCTTTGATGTCTGAGTCTGCATCTAAGTTGCAGATCAGTTCATCTGAACTTGTTCCACTTAAAGCACTTTGGATGCCTTTAATTAGAACAATTTTTTCCAGTCAGGAATCTTTCTTTCTAGGTATGGTTCAAAGAAATTAGGAATTGGTAAAAAAGTTGTACCATTAGTTTTCTCCGGGTTCTAAACATAGGACTTTTTTTGTGCATGCTTTAATAGCCTTTATATCCCCAAGTTGAGCTTACTATGATATGCAGGTTCTATGCACAGATATTCTATTTACACACAATTAAAACCCCAGGAAAAAGCCTGTGTTGGAAACCTTCCACTGATGGACAATTAAAAGACCACAGGACCCATGACTCAAAATTACTTATATGTGCGCATGTGTGGAATCAATTTCAGGTATAATTAAGTCAAGCACAGTGTTAATGATGACTCATATTCCCAAGCAGAACCTTCACTATCATTATAGCCAATAAAGATGTTAATCATTCTGCAATACAAGCCAACAAGTAGCTTTCAAAAACTAGTACACAGCCAAGACACACTCTCTTATGCAGTTTTAACACTGAACTGCTGCAGTGGCAGCTGCATTTACTAGTTCATGTCAAGTATTAGAGGAAACGCTCAGCTGTGGGTACCATCTGCCAAGACTGGTTACCTTCTACTAGGGACTATCATGTCCCATACTATCTCTTTGAAGTCTTTGCAGTTCTAGCTCAACGACTCTGAAACATTTCAGCTGAATCTGGTTAGCAGTCTGGCCTATTAAATTCTCCATATTACTGTCTCCAATGAGTGATATTACTTCAATATTAAAATATTTTAAAATAAAGTAAGAAGAAAAACATATTCCCTTCCCAAAGAAAAAGTTTACTCTCCTTTCAGTCAAATATTTCAGTGTTTCCTTCTGTGAATTCGTGCTTTAACCTTTTGGCAGTAGGCAAATTTATAACCCAGCCAAACTAGCAGGCATGAACAGCTAATTCACGCAACTCACCTTACTTCACTTACTGGCACTAGACTTCTGTTTTTGTCATTTGGGTGCTCTCTAAAATTAAACACCACCTATCACAACCTCACAGACACTTTGGATTCTTTAAACAGCATGACTGAATACTGAAAAATGCAACTGTATGTCACACTTTAGTCTGGTGGACAGTATCTGACATAATTGCTTATTTTCATCCACTGACCAGTATATGATCCACTCGGTCTCGTTTCTTCCGCCCAAATTTCATCATCTTCTGCCAGTCTGTTTTATGATTAGGCTCCTTCCTGAGGCTGAAAAACTTCAGTACTTCAGCTGCAATGAAGCTCTACAGAACAGTAAAGGTAAGATATATCACACGACCTAAGAAATTAAATGTATGCACAAAGTACCTTTCTGTTTAGCTAAGAGACACAGGGTGTATGTATGAAGTTAAGAGTGAAAGTTTTTGAGGCAGAACAGGTGGAACAATTATTAAATCCAGAAGTGTGCGTGTGTGGAGAATGACACCCACTTCTGTGACAATCTTGAGAATAGAAACTTTCAATTAAACACAACAAGCAAACAGATTATGGCAATTCATTTTATGGGAGAATATTAAAGAAAAGCAGGGTGGGAGTTTGGTGTTCTTGTCCTGTGCCCCAGCCCCTCTGCTCCATGCTATTGAAAGTTTTCTGAACTGAGTGATCTAGACACTATTTCTGTCTTTTCTAGGCAGCATCTTCAGCATCTTAATCAAAATACAGTTACCACCTTCCAAAGTGGGGGAGGGGGGCAAGGAGAGCAGGGGAGAAGGAAGTCTTCATAGCTTGAAATTTTCATTTGTGTCTTGGTGAGCTGTATGGACAGTTCTTTGTTGTGCATTTTCAGAGACAGTTTTTTTCCAAATGTCTAGCCCTGCAAGTTTAACCTAGGTCCAGTCATGCTCTAGCCTTCTGGAGTTTTGTCCTTTCTTGAGCACTACCACAGATAACAGGAGACCTCCTCTGGTGTACCAAATACAACAATGCCCTCACTAGTCAATTTTTGGGTCCCTTCTGCAAACTCCCACTGTCCTCAGTGAGGCTGGCACAGGTGTGTCTGAGCAAAAAAATCCAGCTCATCCCATTTGGCCCAACCCTACCCTTGGATCCATGCCAATATGCCCATACAGAGTTCCACCGAAATCTGCTAAAGCAGCAGACTGCCAGCATACCAATTTTATAAAATCAAGGTCATCCTGGCAGTTAAGCACAGAGGACTAAGGTTTAAAAGCAACCAGTACCAGCCAAAAGGACAGGGAAGCATGTTGAATAAAAACCTGGACCATTTTGACAAACTCCCTTTCAGGTTTGCAATCTCATTTGTTTTCTCATCTTATATCTTGCTGGATACACCTGGTATGATCTTTCAACACTCAGGCAAGTGCCAGTACAATGATTTTTCATCTCACATTCCCTGAAATACAAAGATTTCTTCTTACCTTGATTTCATCCAGATCATTTGGATCTTTCACTCGGCGAAAGTAAGCAGATGCAATCCTACATGGTTTCATCCAAATAGGCTGATTTAGATTAGGATCCTCAGCAAACATTTCCCCAAAGATCTCTCTTGTTAAATCAAATACCACCTTAACAAAAAAGAGGTAAAAGCTAAGGCTTCTGTTGTTTATGATAAACATTAAAAGGGCAAGAACAAACTGTCTGAAGACTGTACCTTCTTATAAACCTGTTTGTTTATAGTGTCTGTGTCCTGCTTTTTGAGAGTACTATCAAGATCTGTATGTAGGCTGAAACTTTGAAGATCATGACCCAGCTCCTTTAGTTTCCAGAGTTCCTCAGCTGCTGCATGCACCATAACTTCCACCTCCACTGCAGTATGAGGGACCGCCAAAGGCTCCTCACATGGCTTTGCTGGCACTTGCTGAGGTTCTACCTTGGGCAGCACTGCTGGTTCCTCAGCTTGCTTCTGCTGGACCTTATGGGAACTCAGGCCATAGTCCTCATCAAACCAGTCTTGATCATCTCCCAGGACACTCAGGAACTCCCGATTGAGCTCCAGCTCTGCCAGTCTCTTGGCAAGCTCTTCCTGACCACTGGCACCAAACACTGGACTCTCCTGTGAATTAAGAGACACAGATTAAATGTAAAAGCAGTGTCACACTCCTGTCTAACTCATTTTACATTTTTAAATGCCCTACTTGTGTAACTGGCAATATATGCACAAATACTCAGGAAAATAATAAATATCCTACTGTAAAATTAAAAATGTTTTGATTCAAATATTTGGGGCTTCTACCACTTTTGAGAAATGCTTTCAGTGTGTTCCTACAGAGCTTAAAAGACTGCATCCTGCCCACTGTCTGTCCTAATGTTTAACTCCTTACAAAAGGCTAAGTGGTTTAAAAACTGGCAATGTGACATATAACTTTTCACTTCTCTTACAAGCAGTCTCAGATCTAAATCAACAGCCTAGAAGCTTTTAGCAGGCGATGGCTGTTTCAGTGACTGAGCAGTGCTCACACTGATGAAATGAGCCAAAGCTTCCTGTGATGATAATATATTGAGATCAATGGCAAAGCAGACAGATTTACTGGGATCTTCAGCAGAAAGGCCAAGCCCTGTATCTGTATCATTAATGATTGTTCTGAGGAAGCCTGAACTTTCACTACCCATGGTATATTATTTGAGAGAACAGAGCAGTTTGGTACCTTAATGACCTCTAGAGCAACTAATTATGTTTAGAGATCATTATTTCATATCAATAACCAGAGGTAAGTTAACAGTCTATTGCATTTTGCCATTTTTAGAGTAAAAACCAAAGATAAGGATTAAATACAAACTGAATGTGTAAGCAGAATGCAACCTAGAAAAAGAATTTTTCACTTTCATGTGCCAAAATGTGTCTTTTGGCCTGTAGGGCTACCAAAATAAGCCATGAACTGGGATATGTAAGAACAAACATGTAAGACAAGACACACACATACAATCTCCACATCATCCAACAGAACGTGGGAGAAAACAAACCGATGCCACATAGCATTCCTCAGATTCAGTCATCATCAGTCAAAGGAACGATTAACTTAAAACCAGTGCAAGACATCTGCTACTCACTGGTCTGGGACACATGTCTGGAGAGGAAAGTTCTTCTCTTTCATCTTCAAATTCGGAGCTCAGAAAAAGGTTATTCAGTCCATCAGGAACTTGCTTTTCTACCTGCTGGGATGGGGTACTGTATTCCTCTTTTACATCACAGAGCTCCTGGTTGCTGAGCTGGATTTTCTCATTCCTGACCTTCTTTATTTGCTGTAACTGATCAACTGTGTCTTTTACAAAATCTCTAAGCAGGCTGTCTGTCAGCAAACTGACTTTTTCCAGTTGGTCTTTTGACTTGTCTTCTTCTCTAAGTGGCAGTCTAAGCTGTGCTTCCAACTGGTTCTTTTCTTTTGTCAGCAAATCCAGAAGTGGAGTTGCAGGCTTCTCCACAAGTCCAGGAAGGAGGTCAGCTACCTTTTCAGCACATTCTTCTCCCAGTGTCTTCTGCCTCTCCAGTTTTTCAGAAAGGAAATCTGAGATGTCGTCCAACTGAACAGTGGAAATCTCATCTGCAACGCTAGAAATAAGAGGAGCAAGGCTGGCCTCCTCTTTTACAACATGCTTCAGATAATCCACCACTGACTGTTCTTGGGTAAATGATTCAATAGCTACAGAAATGTTTTTGCTGTTTGCTTTAGAAGACAACTTCTCATCAAGCCTTTCCTCAGCTGGGACTTCTGAAACAGCTGTGTCTGCAGGACCTTTATCGTGGGAATAGTTCTCTGTTACATCTCTGCTCTGGCTTTCATCCTCTTTGCCAGGTTTGGAACTTCCTCTGTCTTTCTGGTAGGCTTTGTGTTGCTTCTCCAGTCTATCATCGAAGAATGAGTCTTCATCGTTGCCTGTGTCTAAATAGCTATTGGTACTTTCTGTAATGTGAGAGATTTTTTGAGGAGGAGCAAAAATACCATGCTTTTCCTTGCAATCGAAATATTTAATACCATCATAAGTCCCATTGTTGTTCCCTTCAGGCTTATCCAACTCTACACCAGCCCAAAAACCTTTGGCAAATTTAGTCAGGCCTTTGAATCGCAATGTTCCAGGTTGGACTTTACTCACAAGTACTCTATCACCAATGTTGAAATCTGGCAAACTATCTGTTTCTTCTATGATCGAAACGGAGGCCCAAAGTGGTGATTCAATAGGGGCCTGTTCTTGCTCCACATCTCTACGTTCAGTATTTTTTATAAGTTCTGTTGGGGACTTCAGTTCTAATAACCTCTCTGAATGCACACTGCCAGAGAGAGAGAGAGACCTGTCACTGAGGTATTCACTGATTTCACCATCACTGCCAAGGCTGGTGGATCTGCTTCTGCTGGTCTGTGTGTGCTGTGACCGCTCTCTCAGTGAGTCCCCATTAGGGGAGAGAGGAGATGCTTCAAAGTCATCTTTGTAATGCTCCCCAGGAAGCATTTCTTCAATTGATGCTTGTTTTCTGGAGGTGGATCCTTCAAAGTCTTCAAGGTACGATGCCTCTTTTTCACTAAAGAGTTGTTCTGAAAGCAGATAACCTTTTTCCTCTGCAGATTTGCTGAGCCTGCAAGAAGATTCTTCTGTATTTTGGCCAGTTACAGCATGTTTATTTGTCAGTCTCTGTTCCAAGATTTTTTCCGTACCCTGAAGACTTTCCACAGCCAAACTAAACAGTTCCTTCTGAGAGTGTTCATTTTCAGAACAGGGGACTTGCTTTGCAAGGATGTCCTCTGAGCTCTCCTGTTCATTACTTAATGTCAACAAGACATCAGAACTCTCCAAAGGTTTGACATGAGAACCTTCAATTTCATGTTCCTCTGACTTCAAGTATTCCAAGTATTCCTGTATCTCAGATTTATAACTGAAGGCAGACTTATCACTGGATGCATTTATCACGTTGTTCACTGACCCATGGGATATTCTGCTAACATCTTTGAGAAAAGATGATAAGGGTACATTTTCTAAGGAATCACCAGTTCCTGTTCTCGAATGCTCTGGTGACATTAAAACTGAGGAAGGTATTCCAGAAGGTTCTTCTCCATGAACATCTGTCACGGCCACTTTCTTGCCGCGTACAGACACAGATCTCTCCGTTTTTGATGACACAGTATCTTGAAGGAAAATAAAAAGGGAATCATAGTTGCATTGTTTAATGGAAAACTGCAACAACAGGCAACAAAATTAACAGCAAGGTTTCTGCGCTAAAGAAGTTACAAACTGGTGCCTTGGAAACATGTATTTATAGCTGCCCCATAAACACGAGCAACATTCTTTTACTTCCAGGTTTCTAACCCTTCTTCTCTGATACTGTTCCTGTACCACTATTTTGCAATGCCATACAACACTGACCCTGAGGTAAGGGCTCAGTTATTTGTTTGCAAGCTGCAAATACAACCAATATTAGAATGGTATATTATTATCAGATAATGATCAACAGCAAAACATTGAAGAATATCTATAAAAACCCAACCCTATTCCTAAATTCTTCATTATTTTTTGTTTCCTTACTTTCCTGAAGTGACAAATAAACAAGAAATAAAAGAAACAGAAAAGGTTGTCACTTAATTATGGTTTCACATAAACCTTAGCAGAGTAAAACTAAATGCTGAATATACAGGAAACAGCGAAACCAGATGCCTACTAAATAAATATATAGCTTGATCATTATGATTTTATGAAGTCTGCATTTTCTCTTAAAACCTCTTCTTGAATCACCAAGGAAAAGCTTAAAGAATTTTAAGACAGTCTTCCAAGATCTTCATCTGTAGTACAAATTCTTCCAGTTACATACCTGCATGTTCTGAAATGGATTCCAAAGATGCTTTGCATCGCTCTGATTCAGCCAGTGATTTCCAGTTCTTAGCTGTCTCAGGCCTAAATATGAAAAATGAAATTTCATGAATCATGGCTACAACCAGAGTGTGTTGCTTTGTCTTTTTTCTTTTTTTTTTTTGAATAGATAAAAGTGGAAATGCCAGCATTTATGATTATAAGGCCAAACCAATGATAGCAAGCAGTTTGCTTTGTCACCATACTGTGACCCTAGAAAATAGGAATGGGGACACAGAGAAGAGTTTGGCAAGTCCTGAAAAGTATTTTTTTTTAAATATTTTGGGTTTTACTGGGATGCACTAAAATTGCACCATCTGCTGGACAAAATTAAACACTTAAAAATACAGTAGAAAGTGCAGAAATCAGTTGAATTCTCTGCCTTTTAAAACCCAATAACCAAACCTGATTTAAGTTGCAAAGATGAATGGCTTGCCTCACACAGTGCTGCAGGCAATAATACTGGTCATAAGAAGCAACCAAAATGAGAAAAGAATTTCTTCCCGTTTGTAATCCATTAAACCATTTGGCTCAATTCTTGCACAACTGAAAAATGTTCAGAAAGAACTTGAAAATAGGACCTGAAAGGCTGCACAGGACAAAAGGGAAATGCATACAATTCCAAGGACAGTCCATCTTATCTGTTTTGGGTCAGTGAGACCAGCAAATAGGTCAGCAGGATACTGTCCAGTTTCTAAACTAAAAGCTAATACTCATGATTTAAAGTTTCAGTTATCTGCTAAATTCATGGTTTCTCCTAAAAACAGTATTCACCATAGTTTCTCAGAAAGAAGAAATCCCAGTTACCTATGGAGTGGTGGTGCCTTGATCTTAGGTTTTTCAGCAGCAGCTGAGGATGGAGTTTTAATCTGAGGTTTGGCTGTTGGCGATGTCTCCAGATCTTGGCTCAGCTCTGCTTCAGTCTTCTTGATAAACTCATCATATGACTGCACACAGAAAAGTTATAGCTGTCAGTCTACAAAACCACAACTACAATTTGGTAATCAAAACCTATTAAGTTAATAAAGAAGACACTTGGTTTCTCTGAATACTATACTTAAAAAAAAATAAACAAAAATTAATTACATGTGAATCAATCTTTAATTTAGGCTCAGATACAAATGCATATAAACATAGATAAGCCCCCTGAGCACTGCCAGTAACCCATTCAAGATATAAATTTTAGAAGGGAATAGCATTTTTGCCTCAAGGCTGTGGTTCATTATTGAAAATATTTAAATAGCCAGAACACAGTCACAGTAATATGTCTTTCATAGCTGTTGATAGGACAGTCAGCCAACAACATCCATACTGTAATGGTTTATCCAAGGCTAATGATCTTTCATGTCACCCTTCTTCCTACTGTTGCTAACCTCCAGTTGTTTGATCAAACTGGCTTCCTGGGCCTTCAGTCTCTCCTTTTGTCTTTTTTTCTGTTCCTTTTTCAGCTGGTAAACCACAGACTTCCTTTTCCGCAGTTCATCCTTCAGGGCCCTGATCCGTCCTTCAATGTCACTTTGATCGGATGTGGTTTCTGAAAAAGTTTTGTTTTAGTCTTTGCAAACTTCCACCTCACAGAACAGTTTTACACAAAGCAATAAACAGTTTAGTAAATAGAACATATGGTCCAAGCAAAATCTCAAAGAATTTAATGTCAACATGGTAACATAGTAAGTCTCTTAAAGTAGGATCTCAGATTCATAACACTAGTATACAACATATGAGAGTTGCATCTTATTTATAAAAGAAAGGCTCTGTTATAGTACTTGCTCCCAAACTTGTTCACATCAACCACCCATGTTTATGCTGCTACCTCATTAACTGCTTATCATGTCAGCTGTTGCTGAAATTAATTTTTTCTGACATGTTAAAAAAATATGACAGCTCAAAGATGCGTATCAAAAATATATTAAAAAAATTTGTTTACAATCACAGTACGCAGTTTCAAGATGCAGGGTACACTTCAGTGATGAGAATTTCATTTGGAACAGCGGTCTGCAAAATAGGGTTCTGGCCCATTTAGATTTTTTGCCATGTAGACTAAATCCACCTATGAAATTGAGAGCTGACTGCTCAACTGCTGGAAGGAAAGTCAGTTTGAACAATGCAGAGATTTTTTCACTATTGTCAGGCTCCAGGGGTAGCACTGAGCTTAGACATGTGGTGGACTGCTCAATAATAGCTTATACAAAGCTGCTTGGCTCCAAATTTAATTTTACAGATCCTCCTATGATGCCATTACTGACTGTAGCTGTTTTCCACCTGAAAGATATTTTTCTTTAATGATTATTCTTAGTAATTTTAATATGATCTCCACTCCTTTCCAACCCCAGAACTCCCTGCAACCTGGTTTTGCAGTCCTGATTATGATAATGTTCTACCTCTTTTCCCTTAGGACACTGTCGCCAGATACTTAGATCCATTCTCTGCATGATAACCCCATTCTACCAATAACTCTGCTACTTTTGATGTTTTTGATGTAAAAACCTCTCAGTCTCTCAGACTTTACAGAGAGACTGACTTAGTGTCTCGTTACTTATTCTTTTCTGCACACCTGATTATGTCCACTTGTTTCTTGTTTAAAATGTATACCAACCAAATGAGATCTTTGCCCCACACTGGTGCTACCACAGTTAAGTATCAAAACCTCTTCAAAATATTGATCTGACATAGCCTTACTGAAGCTCCTCCCAGCAGCTGATGTCCCACTTCCACTTGTACAGCAGCAGCTACATCTCCTAAGAAGGAACTTGTCTGGTTTGATTTTATAATGCTCAATATTACCTACAATGTTTTCCGGACCAAAAAGCTTGGATGTTCATTATCATCAACTGCTTTACTGAACATCCTAGAAATAAAGTCACCTGTATTATCTGGTCAGCTAGCAGGAACAGCTCGACATTTTGCTAATCAAATTTCCCACGACAACAAACCACCATAATGAAGGATTTCATCACCAACAACAGCCAGTAAATACACTCAAACTACTGTATTATTTTTCCATTAACAACTGCTGTTCATAATTTAGAGAATTAAAAAAAACAACAAAGGAAACAGCACAAAAAAAAAAAGGAATCTCACTAGCTAATGAGGAGTACTTCATGATGTTCTTGTAATTAACAAACTCCTCCCAAATAGTAAGTGACCACTATGTAATTATATCTTTTCTTGATCAACTCATAACGGAAAGATCTGCACATGCTTTCATCTTTAATGATCTTGTCTACGCATGGATCGGATTGACGTAGCAATGACTTCATTACTACTCAGCAGCTTGGGAGATTTGTCTCTTTACAGTGGAATGGCTTCACTAAGGGGAAATCCTGCCTGACCAATTTGGTGGCCTTCTATGATGGGGCTGTGGAACTGATGGACAGGGGTAGAGCAGTTGATGTCATCTACCTGGACTTGTGCAAAGCATTTGACACTGTCCCACACGACATCTTTGTCTCTAAATTGGAGCGACATCAATCTGATGGATGGACCACTCGGTGGATAAAGAACTGGCTGGATGGCCGCACACAAAGAGTTGTGGTCAATGGCTCAAGGTCCAGCTGGAGACCAGTAACAAGTGGTGTCCCTCAGGGACCGGTGTTGGGACCGGTCTTGTTTAACATCTTCATGGCTGACATGGACAGTGGGATTGAGTGCGCCCTCAGCAAGTTTGCCGATGACACCAAGCTGTGTGGTTCGGTTGATACACTGGAGGGAAGGAATGCCATCCAGAGGAACCTTGACACGCTTGTGAGGGGGGCTGATGCCAACCTCATGAAGTTTAACCATGACAAGTGCAAGGTCCTACACCTGGGTTGGAGCAATCCCAGGCACAGCTACAGGTTGGGCAGGGAAGAGATTCAGAGGCGCCCTACGGAGAAGGACTTGGGGGTGTTGTTTGATGAGAAAATAAACATGAGCTGGCAGCGTGCGCTTGCAGCCCAGAAAGCCAACTGTATCCTGGGCTGCATTAAAAGGAGCGTGACCAGCAGGTCGAAGGAGGTGATCCTGCCCCTCTACTCTGCTCTCGTGAGACCTCACCTGGAGTATTGTGTGCAGTTCTGGTGTCCTCAACATAAAAAGGACATGGAACTGTTGGAACAAGTCCAGAGAAGGGCCACGAGGATGATCAGGGGACTGGAGCACCTCCCGTATGAAGATAGGCTGAGGAAGTTGGGGCTGTTCAGCCTGGAGAAGAGAAGGCTGCGTGGAGACCTCATAGCAGCCTTCCAGTATTTGAAGGGGGCCTATAGGGATGCTGGGGAGGGACTCTTCATTAGAGATTGTAGTGACAGGACAAGGGGTAACAGGTTCAAACTTAAACAGGGGAAGATTAGGTTGGATATAAGAAGGAAATTCTTTCCTGTTAGGGTGGTGAGGCACTGGAACAGATTGCCCAGGGAGGTTGTGAATGCTCCATCCCTGGCAGTGCTCAAGACCAGGCTGGACGAAGCCTTGGGTGGTATGATTTAGCGTAAGGTGTCCCTGCCCATGGCAGGGGGGTTGGAACTAGATGATCTTAAGGTCCTTTCCAACCCTAACGATTCTATGATTCTATGATTCTATGAATGATTTACTGTGAAACCAGTACCATCGTGATCAGCTTCTCACTTCTTATACCCTTCTTCAGCATTTGAAATCAAAGATTGCAAACACTTTATTTTACAAAAGTTTGTTTTCATGACCCCTGTTTGTATGCTTTAATTTTCAAATAGCTTTCTTATGTGGTTGCTCAGTCAGAACTTGAAAACAATCAAGTTGTTGAATGCTCCATAATGTTGCAAACTGCTCTCCAGACAGAATCCCAATACAAATCACTCAGTACACATACCTAGGTGTCATGTATTCATTTCTCTATCCATCAGGAGAACAGCTGCCTCCAATTTCTGTGTTTCTATTGCACTCACATATACAATATTAACAAAAAACCCCACCCAAAATAAAAGATTATTAAGCTTGTTGCATCAAGCACCACAATGACTGGATACATACACATACCAGGAAGCCATCCATCTACACACAAACAACAGTCAGCACATACAATAGAGCCACTTGTTTACTTGTTTTTTTTTTTTTCAGTAAAGACTTAAGAATGAATTTAGGAAATTTTTAAAAAAAAAAAAAAGGGGCAGGAAGATGCTGTCTCATTTGCTAGAAGTATTTCATGATACTCTTATCAACTGCATAGAGGAATACACATTTGAGAACTAGAAGTACAGAAAGGTTCAAAACAGACTTTAGTTCAACAGAACTCACAATAGTGAACCTCACTGAATCATGGCTCAGGAAGTCCTGCAATCCATGTGACTAACAGACTGTGAGAACACATCAGGGAAAGGACTGCTCCATACCAGTTCACTTCTAATATTTTCTCTCTTAGCATTTACTGGTAGCCAGCTTTGATACTGGATAAAAGAGTATAATGAGTCCATTCAGTAGAACTTGCAATTTACAGCTCAAAATGCAACCTTAGGCCCTATTTTACTGCACACAGTTCAAACCTTCCTCTAAAAATAAAAACATGTTTCCTGAAGCACCCATTCATTCTGTGCATGCCAATGCAGGTGCAACGGGCTCACTCATACTGCCATGATAACAAAGCTATACTGCTTCTGAAGCCAGGCTGTGTTCAGAAGGAGAACAATCATGTTTGTACACTGCTGAACCACATTCTGCTTTCTTACAACATGACAGTTGGAGATGTGTCACATCTGTGCTAAGCACAGATAAGCTTGGTATTTTTAAATTCTAGGACCACCCTGACTATTGACTCTTATTTCCTTCATACCTGTTTGCAGGAACAGGTGTTGTTTTCTAAAAGAAGAGATAATACACAGACCTTCTTAAGCAGAAGTGATCAAATTACGTCATGGGAAAATATTCCCACAAAACCACAAAGCCTGGCATTTCCAAGCCTCCCCACATCTGTTTCTGCCTTTCAGGTTTATTTGCTAAAAGCAAAAGCTATGAAAAAGCGGTTTAAACCCAAGCAGATATTACACTTACCTGACTGTGTCATAGATAAAGATTCATCAGACCAGTTGTGAGATATCTGATGAGACTTTATAGGTGAACGTAGCTGTCCTCCAGTTCTATGGCTGCCTTTACTGGAATCTTGCCGTGATACAGATATGCTGCTTCTGGGAGGAGACTATGGCAAAAGAGAATGACAAATAAGTCATTGCTTGTAAAGACCAGTCTGAAAAGTAGGAGATCACTGTCATCAGGAGCTAGTTACAAGGAAGGAACAGCATGACTAGAGAATATCTCACAAGCAGTGGTACCTATCCAACTATCTTAAGAAGAATATCAGTTTGCTGGACAAACAAGAATACCAAGAGCAGAAATAGCTGACTGCTTACTTTGAGCCTAGATTTCAGTAAACCTGCTTAGACTACTCTATTTCCACCTACATGAACCGACATGGTTCTGACTCACAGGCATTTGACACAGTTTATGTAATCTTATTTGGTAACAACCACAGCAAAAGAAACTCCTAGTAAATATATCAATGAAATCAAAAGGACCATTTCACGTAAGGGGTGCAATATGACATTCTAAATTAGTAAAACCACAGAGCATTTCTCTGAGGCCAGGCAAACAATTCTAAGAGCAAACATTCTCCCACAGTGCTGCTTACTGCTTTGACATTATACCACAAACCTTTCACACACCTTGGACATAACGTCTGGCACATATTAGACATTTTACCTCACTATCTTCTCGGCAAACTTTCCAAGAAAATATTTGTAATAACTCTAGAAATATTTCTAGAATATAAAACTATATAGATACATGTACAGCATAACTATAGAAACTCTAGATGAGCAGTTCTTTTACCCCACAGACACCACATTTTCTGTCTCACTAAGCACAGAGCAAAGTTATCAGGACGAAACTGACAAAAATTATCAACCAAGTAGAATTAGCAGTTATGGAATAGCTGGAACAGAACAATAAGGTAGAATTAGCTGCTGCGCAGACATAATCTGAAACCCAAACGGTTGTGCATGACATTACAGCTCTGCTTCTTCATCCTATACTTATAATTTGGGGTACATCACTTGCAAATAAAGCAATGCGGAAAACCAGAGAATAGTTTCTATGGCCTCAAAGAATTTATACAATGGTAACAAGCTAGCCTACAGCTAATTTATACTGGTAAACTGGGTCAATGTTCCACCACTTAATACTGCATACCTACGTGACATATGCAAAACATTTTGCAAGACTACCCACAAGTTTAAAAATATCTAAACTCTGTGATGAAGCAATTTCTCCTGAAGACTTCAGCACGTACCTGATCACAATGTGTATACACAATAATGTAAAATGGTATTGCCAACAGAAAATAGTTTAATCTCTGCTTTGACAACTGGCATGGCTATGCTTACTCCTTCTCTCATAGCCTTTTTCAAGTGTTAAAATACATATAGCATAAAAACTCACGAGTTTGCCAGGTGAGGCAGACTTGAACTCTTCAGAATAAACCATTTCTTCATTAGCTGTACTCTGATCGGGGCTTTCTGGCTGTCCATGGCCCATAGTCTCTGATGGGACAGACTCAGCAGCTAGACTGCCCAGATCTTCTGGGACAGAGCTTTCACTGTTCAGATGACAGCAAGAAGGCACTGGAGACTCTTCTTCACTAGCTGTTTCTGAGATTCAACAAGAGACAAAACAAAGCGCTTAAGAACCTGCCCTGATTTATAGGCCTTCAAAGATGCTGCTGCCTGTATACAAAGTAGTAACTGCTACCAGTACATGTCAAATTGGTGTTATTTCCCCCACCTAGACACTGAGGGTGGAGCTCTTGGAAAGAACAAGCATGTTTACTAGAAAGTTATGATTTGAGACTGTCAAACCTTCTAAGTGATTGCTGAACATATAAAATAAAGAGGGTTTCAGAATATTCTAACATTTTCCAGACAACACACTCAAAAAAGATCATTAGCAAAACCTGTCCTTCTGGTTGACCATACACCATAGCAAAAGACACTATTAGTTTGAAGAAGTCATGGAGGAGCATATAATCTGCAAGCCAGATACTGAATTTAGAATTGACTGCTTCCTTTACAGTAGTTGCGGAAAACATTTTAATGTTAGGATTTCATCATGAGTGTCTCAACTGGCAGCAACTAAAATAATAAGTTGGGTTTTCAAAATTCCTGTTTATTAAATTCCGCAGGAGTCACAGCATTACTTAGGCAGTCATAGAGAATTATTCAGTATTTGAGCAAAGGCTGGGGAGCAGAACTTCTGAACATGGGCTGTGTTCCAGTGCTTACTAGTAGATACAATTAATAGGAAGCAAGTATATTTTCTCACTCTGAATTTTTGTTAATCTGATACACATATCTTCAAAATGTCTTACAATGCCCAAAATCCATATGACTCTTCAGTAACAACCCTAATAGGGCATAATTCTGAATTTCCTTTGCACATTCAAAGGACATGCTGCCTGCCTTCAGCAAAGTGGGAGAGAAAAAAAGAAAATTGGTTGTTTCTAGAACAATCCCAAAGTTCCATTATTTTCTCTGCCTCTCTGTGCTTCATGCTGAAAGTATGGTCCAGTTAAAACAGAACAGTAAAGCTGTGGCTCCCAACATCTCTGAACTTTTTTTTTTTCCTAACAATAGCATTACTCACGCCAATTATATCCTTACACACTTAAGCACAGTTGCACATTTCAAATGGTTATCTTGCATTCACAACAGAGGGTAGAAAAAGATGCTGAAACACAGCCTCTGGTAAGAGCCATCCTCACCAACAGTGAGGAAGCTAACAGGACAGACACTCTGAGCACTACAGAAGTTTTAATAAGAGTAAGTTCAGAAGATGATCAGCAGAGATCATGAAGTATTTTTGTTCTGAATTGTATGTAGAAATGGGCCTCTGGTGCACTGTTCACTTGAGAAGATACACAGCAGAGGAGGAATACACTTTTAACTGAAGTGTAAAATGGGGCTAAAAGAACAAGGCAACAGAAGGCACTAAAGACTGTAGAAACGGATATTCTAAGGGGGTCCAGAGAAGAACCACCACCAGCAAAACATCAAAAAAGGAAGGAAGTGCAAACTTGAACAATCATGTCAAATTATGCTTTACTCGTTATTTGTATCACTTCCCTCCACTTCCTTTTACCTTTGGGTTCAGTTCTCTGATCCCCCAGCTCTTTCTTGGCTGTTTTGGTTTTGAGCAGCTCTTTGTCCCAGGCAGCTAGAGCCTGCTTTTCTATCTGCCGTATTTCTGCTTCTTCTGCATCCAGGCGGCGTTTCCACTCCAACAATTCTTCAGCATGTTGTCGACGCTGCATCAGCTTCTGTTCTCGCTTAGTTAGAAACCTAACAGACAGAGCAGAAGACAATGAGAAAAGAGCCAATCACACTCAAAGGTCCCAATACCCAGATGCTCTATTGCCACAATTTCTAGAATTATAGCTGTTCAGATTTTTTTCAAGGATAATATCCACACTAACAACTATGTTCTAGACCTCCCACGTGCTGCTGAAAAACCCCCTACAACTAAAAAAGATTTTTTTCTTTGCAATAAGTCTACAACATCCTGTAGTGGTAGGCTACAGCAGACTACAACATATGCTGCTTACATTTTAAAGATCTTCAAAACCATTAAAAGTGATACTAACTATTCACTAAAATGAACAGGCTAAGTTCCCAGTTTCAGTACATGAAAAGTACCAGTGGTATTAAACTGGAACCCTCAAGAAAGCAGTGACTGTTTGAAAAAAAACCTTTTCTTTTCACTAATCCCAATGACAGAAAAATTGTAACTCCAAGTTGCCCCACATATTTTCCAAATACATACTTCTAAGAGAAGGTGATGCTGTGTTAATAGATCTCCTGAATTACTGGAGTTTCTACCCTTCCTCCCTTAAGCGTCGTCTCTGTGGATAACCACATCTGAAATGTTAACTGCGAGCTGACAGCATCAAGAGAATATGGGATGCAGGACTTTTTTTTCCCAGCCACTAGCATATCTGGTTCCTGGTTTAACAGCAGATAAAAAGCAAAGCTCATGATGAAAATTATGAGATATTTTCTTTCTGACAAAGATTTCTTAGGTGATCCACAAAACCTCAAAAATGAGGAAATTCTTATAGGACTCTCTAGGTATGAATAAGTTTGTGTGAATATACTAGCTCGCTTTGGCAGCTCTTGAACAACAGTATCTCTGGTCTTATTTCTAAACACTGAAGTAACCAAGACCACAGGATTTAAGCTTTAACATAGTAAATGAAATCAAGTTCAACATCAACTGCATGCACTTCCTCTGACATGCAAAGTCTAGAGAAGAGTGTGTATCAAGTCATTAATCTCCTACACTTAAATTATGACATCATAAAATCATTCTGCAGAAAACTTATGGTTTGCCAGCTAGAGTTCACCCTCTACAGGGGGTGGGGTACCTAAAAAGGCAGTCTTCAAAGATTTGCACTATTTGCTTTGCAAATGCCTTTATAATTTGTAAGTTTCAAACCATACCAATCACTTGGCATCTAAATTTTTAAGCTGCAAAGCAGATGATAATTTCATTTCTGCTTTTTAATCTCTCATGTTCCAAAAAAAGCCCTTTTATTTGCAGACGCTGGAATAGCCAACTAGCTAATCTGCATGTCTTGCCTGCTAAGGGACACTTCTTGTTTGTTCACTTCATGTTCATTCTGCTCCCTGTAAAAGTGAGCTGGAAGCTGACCAGAAAGGTTAAGATTCATGTAAATTCTTCTCTAAGATCGATTCACATAAGGTAGACAAGTTATGATTTGAAGATAAAAGTTTCAGAAGCCAGTAAGACATGCCCACAATCTTCTTTCCTATGATCAAAACAAGAGCAGGCTCAAACCAGAAGCATCGCAGAGTCTTTGGGAACACCTTCAAGCAACAGATTCAATGATTTTGTGCATTACTTTATTACTTTCTATAGACAAACATCAAACATTGTCTACTTTTAGACAAACCCAACAGATTAATACCATTAAGAAAATAGAGTACCAACAGTAATTGCATTACAAACATGACATGGACAGCCATGTTGTGCCTTTCAACAGCACTATCAGATTTATCAACTCTTACTTTCAGATACAAAACAGTTTCAGTTAATCTAGCAGATCATCATGTATTTGGAACTCATTACGGAGTAATTATTACAATGATTTCACTGCAAAAGGCAACTTTTTCTTCTTCCTTGTAAATGGTTTGATATAATCAGAACGTCTGGATCTTCACAGCTTACTGGATCTTTAGGAAGGCAAGTCCAGTTGAAATAAAATGCAAGAGATAGGTTGAAATAAATGGATTCAAAAGAATAGGACTCCCTAAAAGCATTAACCCCTAAGACTAGGGGAGACAGAAAGGAGAATAATTAACTAAGTGCCGATGAAATTAACCACCACACAAAAACTACTTGCTAGTAAGAAAGGTAAGTCAAAAGAAGTGATGGGAACGAAAGAAGTTTCCAACATTCCACCTATAGAAAGAGGAGGATTAAAGCAGCATGCCTAAAGATGCAGACCCTTTTATAACCTGGGGTTTGAAAGGTCAGAGCCACAAGGTAGTATACACACTGCTTTGACATTTACTACGGTCTAGAGGGTTCCAGTTGTAACACCAAAGGTATGCATTTATCCTCAAAAGCAGCAGCACCTTCATGGGAAACCAGAAAAAGGCAAAACCATGCCTGGCATCTACAAAGCTGGAAATCTGGGGAGAAAAAGAGCAGCAGCACTCGGATTGCATCAGCATGATTTAAAAAAATCTAAATATTTCTCTGCTGCTAACATCACATATTTTATCAATGCATCCCAAATATTAACCTGGAAGCATAACTTGCTATTCTGACCTGTGCTTGTACATTATATCCAAAGTATACTGACTTCAAATTCAAATTAGACAGTTTCAGCAGCTATTCTGAAGTGCTAACTAGACAGTGGGAACAAAGTGAACTATCTGCCATTCAGAACACAGTAGGAATAAGAGATTTGAATCATAGGATGGTTTAGATTTGAAGTGACCTTGAAGATCATCCAGTCCAACTTCCCTACCATGGCCCAGGACACCTTTTACTACATCAGGCTGTTCAAAGCCCCATCCATTCCGGCCTTGAACACTGCCAGGGCCGAGGCACCTACAACTTCTCTGGGCAACCTGTGCCGGTGTCTCACCACCTTCATAATAAAAAAAAACCCAAATCTTCCTTATATTTAATCTAGACCTACTGTTGGTCTAAAACCATTACTCCTTGTCCTATTGCTAACGTGCCCTAGCAGAAGGTCTTTCTGTTTTTTATTTAAATAGTCCACTTTATATATTGAAAGGCACACATAAGGTCTCCCCAGTGCCTTCTCTTCTCCAGGCTGAAAAACCACACTTCTCTCAGCCTTTCTTCACAGGAAAGGTACTCCAGCCCACTGATCATTTCTGTGGCCCTCTGCTGGACCTCCTCCAACAGATCCATGTCTTTTTCATCCTGGGGACCTCAAAACTGGATGAAGTACTCCAGATGGGGGTCTCATGTGAGCAGAGTAGAGGGGAAGCATCAGCTTATATCCAGTGGGTTTTTTCGTCCACCAGCATCCCCAAGTCCTTCTCTGCAGAGTAGCTCTTAATTCATTCATCCCTCAAGTCTACACTGATTCTGGGGATTGCCCTGACCCAGATGCAGGACCCTGTTATCTCCATGAGGTCCACAGTGGCCCACTCCTCAAGCCTGTCAAGGTCTCTCCGGATGGCACCCCTTCCCTCCAGTGAATCAACCACACCACTCAGCTTGGTGTCATCTGCAGACTTTTTAAAGACATACCCAATCCCGCTCACTGTCTATGCCATTCAGAAAAATCTGGAAACAATGAGGAAAGTGTCAAGAAGTTCACTGATGAAAGAACCTCTTGACTTCCCAGGACTGAACAGAGCATGCTCTATCAAAGAGTCTATCACTTGAAAAAGATGCAGTTACCTGACCAATTGGTTGTAGATATACAGCTGGAATTTGGGGTGAAGATTGGGAAAACAGACACTGAGAGAGGCCCAGTGGTGAGACGTAAAGACAGAGAAGAAGTAGTGAACAGGAGAGCAGTGTCTACAAAATAAGGAGGAAGAGTTTAAAACTAAGATAGCAAAAAAGGCAGAAAGAATGAGAAAAGGATAGCATCTAGCAAAGAACTTTAAAATTAATTGCATTTAACATTGTATAGTTATTACCCAACATCTGAAGTAGAAAAACTATACACTGTTATGCAGAAGGTAACAGAAAACACACACACACCAATTCATTTTCTAATGGCAAGCTACTTTCACACTGCTAGATTTTTCTTTAAATTTTGGAAAGAGTTTTATTTTGATGCAGACTTCCACATGCACTGGTTAACATTTCAACCTGATCTTTTTGCAACTCCTGTTACTGTAATTGTCAATACAGTATACAATGAGCATTAAATAGCATGCTACTTTTGCTACATGAACAACTTTGCTTGTCTGAAACTTTAAACACGTTTTCATTCACCTGGTGAAACCTCAGTAAAATTAATTCTCCAAAGGTAAGCACCAGTGAATGGGGGGGGGGGGATTAAATTACATATTTTAAAACATGAGCAAATCCAGGAAAAGTCTGAGAAATACCTGTAATTTGACCTCTAGCTGCTATTTTGGTTTTTGGCAATGAAGTGCAGACTTGGTCTCAGAATACTTGTACATTGCCTCTTTCATTTGAAGTACTAACTGCAGAAAGATAATGCCTATTTGTTTAAAAAAAATAATCTACCTACCTAAACTTACAGCTGTGCTTAAAATGGTATTTTCTAAACAATTACCATTTTAAGTTAATTCCTAATGAATGATCATAATTACAGAAAAATGCCATGCTCCACATAGCTCTATCAACTACAACGCAAGCTAAGCAGCATATTAAGGAAAGGCAAAAGAAAATGAGCATTTAATCAGTTCTTCTATAGCACAGATTATCATTAAAGTTGCATATGCAAGGAAAGCAAGGGGAAGTGGTTAATTCTCTTTGACAGAGCATGCTCCTGTTCACATGCAGGCTGTTAAAAAAATAACCATTCTTTCATTCCCCTTTCAGCAGAAAAGAAATATTAAAGTTGCCTCTTAAGGAAGCCACAGGATTTCCACCTTGCTATGGACTACACCAAATCCAGCATAGTAGGCTCTCCTAATTCCTTATTCTAGTTCCTCTACTACTTCATTCAACATTCAGCCTCTTTCCTTTTGCCGTATCTCACTCACACCCTGATTAAGCTGCCCTTCAGACAGCAGCTTCCTATCATTACACCCCAAACCAAATGTCTTACTCTATTATGTTAATATTATTCTTACGCATTTTACAAATAAGGACATTTAAAAGACTCCAAGTCAGCACTGGTTTTCAATCAATAAGCACAGCTACTGCAATCAAAATGCCTGCAAAAGGCGTGCAAAACCTATATAATTGGGAAGATCAAGTACTAGAGAATCACTTATGTTTACACAAAATACTACTTCCTTTGAATATGTCTGTATCAATCCAAGACAAAACCATAAAACCAAAAATACATGACCACATATATTGCACAACTTCCACTTGTTCAGCCTAAAAGCAGTTATTTCAGCTCAAATCCTGCTATCTACTTTTTGAAAATTATTCTATTTTGGACTGATGATTCAAACATCTCTAAGGGCAGAACATAATTTGTATCTACTACTATCCCTTGCAATAGTAAGAACAATTATTTATTAATATGTAATTCTTTCTGCAATCATACTTGTTGCTTAGAAATGAAAGTACTTTGAAACAGTAAAATTTCAAAAACAATACTGACAAAACCACTACCTGATAAAAAGTAGCAAAGGAAGTTTTAAATACAAAAGTGTCATCTCCTATAGTGTTTATTAACACTATATCTCAAAAATGGTAAGATGTCACTTGGTTTTGTTACACCACCTGAAATTTTGTATGTTGAATCTCAGGTGGTAAAAAAAACAAAGACCCTCTTTAAAAAAACCCTGAAACTCCGTAAGTCAACATGGCCTCCAGAGCACATCCTTCTCAAGTCCTCATCTTCAGCCATTTACCAACTTCAAAATACATTTTGAGAAAAAGAGTTTGCTGCTATACCGATGGGGTTGGTTTCCACACGACCTGGAATGCCAAGAGTTTAGTTTTGGAAATATGACAATTCAGAATCTTGAAATCATTTGTCATTTTGGCCATTAAGTTTACCAGAAGAGTTTGAATAAAATAGCAATGAATTCAGGCGAGAACATAAAGACTAAGTATACCTAGAACGCCGTTTTTGATTTTTCCTACTTACACCAATCCTCACTTAGTACTACTGGTTTTTATCTTCATCATATACAAATATATGCAAGTCTGGGAAATATACTTCTAAAAAGATTACAAGCACATAAGGAGTCACAAACAGCCTGCAAATGGCAGTGCTTGCTTTTTGATGTGTTTTGTGTTAGGAGTCACATGAGAAAAAAAAACAATTATATAAGATCTCCCTTACGGACTAAAATACAGTGACATACTTTGGTTATAAGTTAAAAAAAAAATAATGTTTAAGCAAGGACTATTTTTTGCAGAAATTGGCAGAGATCAAATTTTTAATGGATTAGTCTCAAAAATAAATTTAAGGCTTCAAACTAATGAGCACATGCTGGAAAAGCATTTGGGATGTTTAGTGCAGACAAAATAATCCCTACACTGAAAAGATGCGGAAAAATAATTTCATTCAAAACAATTTAACAAGTGAAACCTTCAGCCCTAGTTTTCAGACACAGGAACTGCACATATACTTCATTGTTTCCTCTGAAGACTAACAATCAACTTCAATTTTTTTCCAACCCATGGACCAAACAGGATGAAAAGAAAGGTCTTATTAATTGCCCATCTTCTCAGTCACACACATACAACCTCCATTAATTAAGAAAATACTATAAAATGCATCCTAGCTCACTTTAATGCAATCAGAACTGAAATTCTGCAGCTGGATAATAAGGTAGAAATCACAAGCCTGACAAGCTCAATGACTTTCTGAGAGCCAGATCTCAATCTCAGTTACTAGTTTTTGCATAAAATTATTCCTATTTTTAACTTACGCTTCAATTCAAGATAAAATTGGTACTGTAATTGCAGAGTCTCACTTCTTATATTTCTGCCCTTTAGAATAAAAGGGGAGATACAAAATACAGACACTATTTTGACCATTTGACTTCAGAGGTCTCATTGCTATAGGAGCTCTAATATCATCAAGCTGGAGACTGTCCAAGTTCCTTGAGCATACAAGTAGCTGAATCTCCTAAATTGATGTGCTTTTACGAATCAAAAAAGAAGTACAAAGAATATTAAAATCAATCTTGTATAATAAAAACTTGACACACTGTCTGCCAGCTAACAATGTCCAAATCTTAGTATTCATGCAACAGTTGTAGCCTTTGTATATTATATTCAAAAATTAACACAGTTCTATTAATGCTTCCCAATCAGCTATTTTTCAGGCAACACAGATCAAAGCTGATGTGATATTAATAGTGCAGATACTGGCCAAACCAACTCACTCTATTAAAATAGTAAAGTCTTGCATAAGAAGAAAAAAAAAATAAATTAATTACTTCTCATCCATTCTGCTGCGCATTTTTTTAAGTTTCTGCATAATGCTACTAGTCTCACTGCTGGAGATTGAGATTGGGGAAGGGCTGCGTGTTTCTCCATCAGTTGGAAGTGGGCTAGAACCATGGCTCTGTTTGACGTCATCCTCACTGTGAAGTTCCTGCAATTAAGTGTAAAAAACCCCAAAAGGCAACATTAAAAGTAGGAAGTTATTCTACAATCCTTTTTAGACATTATGTTAATTTAGCTTACTTCTCTCCAGACTACATCAAATACTACTTCAGGTAAGTCTGCCAGCCTGCAGATTTAACTTGAGTATACAACTTCATTTTTATGTGACACAAAGTTTTTTAGTACATGCTTTTCCACCATAATTTAAGTTCTCCCTAGCTGTATGCAGAAAAAACCGCAACAACACCCCAACATCAGAACTGAGTTACCCAAACAGGAAACCAATCCTTTCTATACTACTATTATTCAACTTGTGTCTCCTCAAAATTTTGTGAGGAAGCAGTCACCAAAATCCTGTCTTGCTGTCTTATAAAGCAGATGCAATAAACTTAGTGCAATGACACTAACACTCACACAAGGCAGCAAGTTTTGGGTTTAACACTTACATTTAGTACTTTGGAGTCTGAAAAATAATCAAACAAAATCAGAGCCCAAGAGATCTAAGCAACAAAAAGCCGATATTCCCAAAGTTATCGGTTAAGCTTGAGAGTTAAAACATCATTTACTGCACAGTTAAAACATTTAATAATGCTTTTAAGAAATTAAACACTGCTGAGATAAAGAGGATAAGACCATTTGAGGCAGACAAAACTTTCAAGTGATAGGTCCAATCCAGTAGCTTTCCATTCCTATAAACACTGAAATCAAACACTAGATGCATGGACAAAGAGGGAACACTCCAGCTTCTGTATGAACACTTACTAGTTTGTTTTCTCCTGCAGACTTTAGCTTCTCCTGCAGTTTAATTGTAGTCTGACGTATTCGTTCTATTTCCGCCTGCTGTTTAAGGATCAGCTGTCTTTCCTTCCGAGCAGCTTTGTTAGCCTCTTGAAGACGCTTAATTTCTGCCTTTTATGTATAAAAGATTAAGCATAAGAACTGTGACAGACAACTCTCAAGAACATGCTCTAAAGCTGCCACAGTGTCCTTGCTAGGGGTTTAAAATTACTGCAATTACTGATGAAGCAACTAGCCTGAACTTTAGCAGCAAAGAACAGAAGATCAGTTAAGACTTCCAAGTCCCAACACGTGAGATTACTGATCTAGAAAGACCCTTTAAATCAATGTGTTAAATACCACCAAAATGCAAGTAACACTTGCTGGTAAGAAATACTGCTAGCTTTCTATCCAAAAGCCTGTATGGAAGGTTCTCAATTCTTAGCTTTTACAGTGTCTGAAACATTTAATGGCTACAGAGAGGCTTCAACAGGGTTTTCCTACAGAGCATCAGTTACCTTTTCCTGCTGTAATCTCAGCAGCAGACCACGCTGCCTCTTTCGAATAGGAGGCATTTTATCATCCTCTCCCTTGTCTCGCAAATGCCTGCAAACAGATTGGAAGAAAAGATTAAATAAGAAAAAAGGATATAACAATGAACCACAAGCCTTTTACACTTTAAAGTAAAAAACCAAGATTTACTTTTCCTAATCTGCAGAAGAGTATATGTCTGTAATTAATCACTTGCATGCTCTATAGTGAAATATGTTGTACTGTTTAGTCAGACACACAGTTGAAAGGCCAGTGCAGGTAATACGAGATCTCACATGAATGGGCAGAAGCTCTCAAGAGGTAGTATTCTCACCCTTTGAGAAAGGCAATAGGAAGGACGCTTGGGTCACTACCTCACAATCCTTTGTCAAACCTACATTAACAAGAAATTGGAAGAAAATGCCTGTTGAACAATGGTAGTCTCATGCAGAGAGTGACCATAGAAAAGTATTATTGATTAAATCTGGCCACTACCATACTTGAAGTAGCATTCCCAGCCAAAGCATATGTTAGGTTGAAACAAATTATTAAGTACTACTCATACCCAAATTCACAAAATTTGGCTTGAGTCAACTAAAATGACCTCAGACATCAAGCAAATAAAGGTCTGTTTGACAGTTTTTTATCTTCTTGAATTAAGACTTGTCAAGTAACAGTTGGGAACTACCTTCTCTGACTGACAACAAACATCTGATATTCTACTGTTTCATGACATTCTCTTTGATCAAACCATGCTCAATGTGGTGCATCAAAGTACACTCACAAACTGAATTCTGTTCTTTCCAAACGACAATAACATTTGTATAGATTACTGATGTCAGAAGATCAGTTCAACCATTGATACTTAAAAAGGGAGGGGTGGAAAATGGTCAGTCACCAACAGTGTATATTTAGAGCTCCCTTACTTCTTCTGGTGTTCCAGCCAAGCTAATTCAGCCTTGGTCTTCTCCTTCAGAGCTTTCTCTCGGAGCCGAAGCAGTGAGGACTGATGAGCTGCTCGCATTTCCTCTTCTTTCATGTACTGTCTTACCATCTCCATGGTAAATTTAGAGAAACTATCTTGTCCCCCTGAGAATGGCATGCTTAGCTCCTGGAAGGCAAGAAAAATTTGGCATGATTTAGAGAAATTCCAAGGCTTTTTTCAATTACAAAGTGTGTGTGTGTCTATACAGACATACACAAAAAAACATATTAAAGAAGGGAAGCTGCTCTTATTCTGAGCTTTGTGCAGACCAGCGTTTTCTGCCCTTGGCTGTGTGAAAGTTTTGGGGTGTCCCCTCTTGGGCCAGAGAATCAAAGCATCCTCTTATACTTCCTATCTGTGTGTAGGCATAATAGAAAGATTTAATCCACTGATCTTTTATAACCCACCTCAAAATGTCACAATAGGATAGAGGCATATTTTGTAAGTCAGCGTGCTTGTACAACAGTGACATATTGCATGATTCATGCAACCCTAAGTTTTGAGATGCTCAAAGAACCACAGGGAGGAAAAAAACCTGAAGTTTGCAAACAGAGGTAAGAACAGCTCACCTGAAGCTCATTAGCTTAACAATTTCAGTTCAGTTAATTTACCTTCACTACAGTTGCTCGACCTACCTTGATAGATGACAGAGCTGTTTTGTCTGGGGAAACTTCCTCATCAGAATCATCACGATTACCCCGTTTCTTCTCCAAGTTATTTCTGCGATGACTCTCAGAGGGCAGCAAAGACCGAAAAGACTTTTCTTCGATCTCATCCTCTGTCATGGACTCATCAAATTTCAGGGAATATTCTGTTGCAACAGAAGCAGAATCTGAGGGAGAAACCAGGGAAGCAGTTTTATGCTCAGGTATGTAACATGAATGAGATTTTACTCTGTCTAATCTCAATAAAGTCAGAGGGGCAGGAAAGACAGAGAGAGAACTAATGCAGAATAAAATGGGTGTTCAGAAAATCAAATCATGGAATACCAGGTTGGAAAGGACCTCAAGGATCATCTGGTCCAACCTTTCTTGGAAAAGCATGACCTAGACCAGATGGCCCAGCACCCTGTCCAGCCAAATCTTAAGTGTCCAAGGTTGGGGAGTCCATCACTTCTCTTGGGAGATTATTCCAATGGCTGATTGTTCTCACTGTGAAAAAGTGAGTGACCTGACCTTGAGTTATAGGACATCATGAAATACCATTATCCAGCCTGACAAACCTAACAGACTTCCATAAACAGGTATAAACGCATTTCTGGGCTGCTGAAATACTTAATGTTCAGCTTGCACATTCAGCAAGTGAACTTCCAGCCATAGTTAGCACAACAGAGAGCAGAACAGCCCACACACTCCACCACTCTGATGTGCAGAATTTCAAAGGCTCCAGTCTCACTATGCCACCCTCTCTTACTTCTTAAGAGACTACCAATTCACCTGAGGCTCAGCTTTCTTCACATATATTCCCTCATTTACTTCAGAAACTAATTCTGAAACAGCACCTCCCCTCCCTTCCCCCTTACCACCCTCAGATTCATCACATATGAACACCACAGCTTACCTTTTTCATCTGGCAGTGATAAAATACTATCACTTCGCAAGGAATCATCCACACCAGTACGTGCCTGGTCTTCAATACTGCTAGTTATCTTTTCACGACGGGAAAGCTTTTTCTCGTTCTCCTTAGAAGATGGAACTGAAGGACTCTCTTGGCGGCTGCTGGCACTACTGGGTTATCAAAGAGATAAGGGGTTTTTTTTTAAATGACTTTGCACATTTCAAAGTATTTATATTGCATTACTACTGCACATACCATGATTAACAATGCCAGCAACAATCCACATGCAGAGGGTCTGGGACCTTTTTCAAATACAGCTTGGCTGCTTCAAAATTCCAAGCCTCAACAAGCTGCAGATTGACAGCAGGACTTGCATTTTTATTCCACCTTTGAATCCAAGTGCTTTTTAGGTATGCACACTCTCTACCTGGCAATGAGTGTGGATGATAAACCACTGCAAACATCTCTCCTTACAGTTTTTAAAAGGATAAGCGAGATGGCAATACTGTTTTAAATTAGAAGAACTACAGGGGATATAATCATTCATCTGGACAAGATCACAGAAGGGCTGTGAGAAACTTCATGAGCTCTAACTAGATCAGGTAAGTCAACAGGAAACAAAAAGCTAAAAATCCATTGTTAAACACAGGTGAGATACTGAAAAGTAACACCAGAAATGAGTCAAACCTAAACCTCAGGCAAATAACACCCCATGCGGTTCATGAAAACTCTCAAGCCAGTGCACAGCAGCAGTGATAAAAAGTTCAAAAACTAGAACCTAACAAAACGTTCAGATACACAGAGAACAGAAAAGAAAGTAATGTACATTACAGCAGACAGTTCTACATGTCCCTGCACTGTGTTTTCAGAACATATGCTCCAGTCTCTGTTCTAGTCCATTCCAAAATCACACATAGCAAAATGAGAACGGCACAAAATACAAATATTTAGAACAGGGAAAAAGACTCATATAAACAGAGACCTGAAGGGACTTTTAGGTTACAAAGGTGACACAATAAAAGCATGGAAGTAGGCCACAGCACAGAAATTGGAATAATCTAAGCTCAAAAATTTCTGAAAGCATTTCATCTAACCAAAGTCAAGGCTATGTAGAAGTTCTGAACAGCTGCAAGAACAAAGGATCCCACAATCTCCCTAGAGCCCCAAGTCTAGTGTTTGACCACCTTCACAGTGAGTGTTTTTTCCCTCAGTGACTTTCCCCTTTCTTTAATGTCACCATTGCTTTCTGTCATCTCACCATGCATCTCTAAAAAGAGTCTAACCTTATGTTACTTAACAACCCATGTTTTAAGATACTGCAACTAGATTCCTGCCCCCTTAGCCTTCTCTTTTCTAGGTTAAGTTAGCTCAGTTCCTTTATCCTGTCTTTTACATCATGCACTCCAGCCTCCCCTTGGTGGTTCACCACTAGACTTGTGTCTGTATGCAAATATCTCCTCTTTACTGAGAAGCCCAAAACTGGACACTGTATTCCAGATACAGTCTCACAAGAGTCGAACAGAGTGGAATAACCATTTCCCTTCACCTGCTTGCTAGACTTCTGCTAAATCAGCTGAATGAGAAAGTGAAACTCAATTATTCTTAAGTTACACAAGAGAAAAGCATTCAATTAGAACAAATATAGCAAATTCAAAACTGAAGACATTAACACACTGTGGGCTACAGTGTAGTAGGACTTTTTTAATTAAAGACAAAACCAATTCTGGTAGGCATATAAACCTTCAAGCTCCATAATATGAGACAGGCTTACCTGTTGAAGGTTTAATGCTGACAACCTCTTTTTATAAAAAAATTTGAAGGAAATATCTTTATATTCCTTTGTACTTTAGTTCTTACTTATAGCAAAACCACCCCTGTGTAATCCAAGCCCTTCTTACCTCTGATCATGAACCTTCGATCTTGAGGACTCTGAATAACTATCAAACATTGGCGAGTATGTCTGTTTCGAGTCACCTATCCCCTCTTTACTTTGTGATATGGCACCAGACTCACATTTCCTAAGAAAGCAAAGTGTTTGGCGTAAATCTGTGTTATCTTAAACCAAAGAGGAATATAGTTTACTAGAAGTAGTAACAGCTAAAATTTCTGAAGAGATCACTTAAAGCTTAGACTAGTTAAATCATCCCACAAAACATTTAGGACATCTTTTTCTACACTTCTTATATAAAGGTTCACAGAACTAGTTAATGTCACCATTGCCATATCATACACTATTAAAAGGCAATAAAGATGGAATCTGAATTCTTCTTCAATACTCACTCATTATGACATCTTAAAATTCTCTTCAAGAATAGGTGAAGGAGAACCTAACAAATTTTACTTCCCCCTTCCCAAGATGTGAAACATTAGGCAAAACCTGTTTGTATCAGCTCGGGCTCTCAGTTGTTTCATGAACTCTGAATGATGCTGCCGCTGGTGGTCAAACAAGGTGGTGACTGGAGCAGCTGGAGTGCTGACAGTATCCGTTCGTGCTAACTCAGTCATCTGAGCACAATAAAAAAAAATAAAAAACCAAGGAATACAATAAGCCTATCAGCACCAAAATCTTTTTGAGCGAGAAAAGTAATCCTCACAATCTTACTCATTTATTGAGCAAATATGTAAGATGTGGGTTTAAGATGGCTTGTAATTATAAATGTGTCAATTTTGGATATAGAAGGTACATACTGCTCTGTAAATACATATTCTTTAACTTATGCAGAGTGAAATTATTAATATGAAGCTACAGATATGCAAGATACTACTTACCATATCATTCTAATCATCTTAACCAAACTCTGATCAGTCTAATGATCCCCACATAATACAACATTCCAGACTTCTTATAATTGAAACAAAAAACAAAGCAAATACCTCCCCCCCCAAACAACCTCCAACCACCACCCCCAGAAACACCAGAAACAATGTTTTCATTTGAAAGTGCATTTTGCTCAATAAGCAAAAAATATTCTTTTCACTCCAAAGGAAGCAACAGGTTTAAATTCCAATACCATGCACACTGCCAGGTCTAAAATCAGCAGCATTAAATAAACAATTGCCATAAATTATCCATCTTAATGTATGGCAGTCACTGTGTACTGGACTTATGAAATAAGAGCTTCTTCAGAAACCACAGTAGATAACACTAGTTTTCAGAAGCTTTAGAATTAAATATTTTTCTTACTGTTCAAAGGTCTGCCTCTTGCAGAGCAGGGAAGTCTGGTTCATTTTGAAGGTAGGTATAAGCTGTATTCCAATGATTTTTAATAAATATACAGAGTTTCTTCCGTAATTCTTCAATTAATGTATATAAATTTTATAGAAATAGTGAATGTTTTAAATTGGATTGTCTGCATACATCATCCACTGTCTTAGCCTTCATTAATATGACAATCAACTCTAAGCAAACTGAACTGTATAGCAGCATGCTATATTCTTTTGCATAATACAAGCTTCTAATTGAAAGCAACGCAGAAAATTAACTCTATTCCCTTATACATAAGAAATTATAGGATACGTCCCAAAATATTCCCAGCATATTGGTAACAGCCATTTCCGCTGCTGCATTCCAGTTAAAAATAAATGGTTGTTCAACTGAGTATCTGGAGTCACTTGTAAACGTAGATGGAAAAGCAACTCTGCTAGCCCATCATCACCGACTAGGTCTTCCTCATCAACCTCTCCACTAGCACCTTTTAATCTCAGAGTTTGAATTTAAAGCAAAACAAGAGATTAAAACCCTACACCAAATAAAAGCTCTATTCCTTCTGCCTTGTTTCTTAACTGGTTTCTACCCACTTCAGCTCTATAAGCTACAAATGTTTCTTTGTCTTTATCCAAGACTCCACTACCTTCTATCAGCAACCACTGCGTGCATCCAAGATGCCTGAGCTTTTCTGTGCCTTTAACCTAATCCATTCTTTTTATTAAAAAATTATGTAAAAGTCACATATTTGGCAAAGGCCAGAACAAGTACATCACTGTTATTCTACAGTTCCACTACGCATCACACAAACAGCCTTCCTGAGCACTAACATGTGCATAAGCTGTAAAGAAACATGTTCACATTCATCAGCCTTCTGCATTCCACCCCATGACCCTAATTTGCAGGCACTGCCACTGCTGAACTATGAAGCAGCAAAAGCATTTTTTTGTTACTGTGTTTTTTACCTATGTAGCAGCCGCTACAATTTTGGAGCAAGTAGTATAAAAACTGATAAAATTATATCAAAAACCTGAAAGCTAATAAATATTCCAGATGCCACAAAAGAACAGAGACCCCAAAAAAGAAAACTTCAAACTACCAAGAGTGAAGATCCTTCTTTTTTTTCTCACTTCTATCTTCAAAAGTAAGCAAACTGTTACTTTCCCACTTTTCTGATTTAATTTGCGTATGAAAAAGATACATGATCAATCCCCGATGGAGTGCAACTCTTACAAATTAAAGATGTGTTCACTATCCTCAATCTATCCTGGAAGAACAAACTTCTTAAGAGTTTGCTAACTGGAAGATCTTAAGAATAGTGATCAGGGATTTAGGGCTGCTGACTCTTTAGTAATGATGCCGGAAAAGCTCCTCTAAAGTCCTATCATTTGTTACGTTATGAAGGTGAAGAATTACATTGAACAGAAAATATCCTAGAGGCAAAAAAGTATGCAAAGTACTACTCAGGTTAGAACAGTTTTTTCCTTTCGCTCAGGACCTCACCTCACGGGTCTGGTGAGCTGCATCTGTAGTGAGATGCGCAGTTTCTTCCTGCTTGGCTGGAGCCTTGCATTGGGTCTCCTGTACAGCCTCCTGACGTGCCTGGACAAGATGCTGTAGCGACTCTGCATGGACCTATGCAGAAAACACAGCCAGTTTACCTCTTCAAAGTCTTCTGGCTATAACAACTATACTTTCATTTCTTACAATCTGGTGGAAAAAAGTTTGAAATTGGCTCCTAAGAGTTTTTCAGCTATATTAAACCCCTTCAGCACCTTCACATAGCAGCTTCAAGTTAAGAATACTCGTAGGCATGGATTTACTTACAGCATTTTGCCTCTTACACACTCCACATTTTCTGAAGGGCAGCATTACCTGAGCTGCCTTCTGCCTTGCCTCGTCCAGTTGTCTCTGACTTTCTAAAGCTTCTTGTTCAGCCTTGATTTTTAAGAGAGCTAGGTCCCGTTCATGGCGCTGCTGCTGAGCCTACAAATCAGGAAAACAAGTTTTTAATCATGCAAATTAAACGTAAACACTTTTTGTCTCAGCCTCTAGCTGCAATGACCTCTGAAAGATCTAGATCTTCTCTACTGGTGGTGTCTCTTCTGCTAAAGTAAAATTTCCAGGCTACCAACTGTCCTTCTCCCTTTTCAAGCAAGCAGTAGACAATGCACATGCCCTGTACTTTTCCACTACAGTGTGGAAAGAAAAGAGGATTTAGGAGACCAATTAATTCAACAAACAAGAACAAGCAATCCTGCCAACATAAGGAAATTTCAACCAAAAGTATCCTTTTCATGGTCTAAGACAAATGACCTAGCCTGAACAACTACACGGCATGGCATTGGGACCCGATATCAAACTCTATAAACAATCAAGTTTTTATTTTACTGAAGTATACGACTAAAGCAGTGATTCCAGCTAATGGTATATTAATGACACATGTTTGAGTCATCAGTTCCTTGGTGTCAACTTAGAGTCAGAAAAAGAAGAGACACTAATCCTCAAAAATGGACACTGGCAGAGACACTCTATCAGGAGTATTACAATTTCTCTGCATTGCCAACAAAAGCATAACTCACCCTGATTAATTTTCTTGCAAAATAAAGAAGAAAAGAAGGTTAAGACAAGGAAGTATTTTTCCATTACCTTTAGAATCTGAGCCAAGGAAACACTCTCCTGCTGGGCAAGTGATATGCCTCGTACTCGTTCTACATCTGACAGCTGTCGCACAGACTCCTCAATAGCACTAAGGTAGTTCAATTCTACTGATAAACGATGCTGAAGACCAGCGGGGGAGAAGCGCATACATCCTGCAGGATAAGACTTACTGGTCAACTTCCTTAGACTTTAGTGCCCCACATCAAAAATACAGAAAAAATATAACTACTTTGGGATTACTGTGGTTCTAACAAAAAAAAACCACAACTCACCACTTGCAGAGGCTGCTCCTGCTACAGACCTACTAGCTCCCAGACTCAAGTCGGGGGAGGCTGAATTATGCTTCAGCCCTGAGGCTGTACTTCCAGTAAAGCCAGCAGGTGACTTGACTCTTTCTGCTGTATTGCCTATAGAATCAAACTGCAACATTTTTTGGGAACCTGGAGATGGGGAAGAAGTTGGTGTCTTCTGGGATCTTCCCTTGTCTGAGAAACTGACAGTGAAACAAAAAAAGAAAGGAGTCAATATTCTCCTAAATCCAGCCATTTGATACCACAATGAGGAAGTAACCTAGTTCTTCCACTTACACACACCAAAAAGATCCACATAAAAGGCAGTCTTTTATAGTTTGCACTATAAAGGCCCAGTGTGCCTTTAGGAAATGCCCTCATGAGATGGCTTTTGTACCCATACCCCAGGTTAAGGTTAAGTTTCTAGAGCACTCTACTTTTCCTCCAAGTATTAAACCTAGTTAGTACACACCAAAGAGGAAAAAAACCCAACCAAAACCAAAAACCAAAGCATAGTATCTAACATGTTCTACATGGCCAAACAAGCAGTTTCAATGCCTCCTTGTTAGGAACCTGCCATGACAAAGTCTGGATGCACTCACCTGCATGTGCATTTATATATCTGTTTTGAGAGTCTGAGTGAAGAATTTTGGTTTAGTTACAGAAAATTAGGGCCATATTTTGATAACAGAATACAATGAACAGAATTTTTAGAAAGTGAACAGATTACTACTGGCACATGAATGCAACTGAATGTGGTTAAGTCACTGCCCTGGAGCCAACTCTCTCAACAAAATGCAATGAAACACTTGAACGCCAAACTTGACAAACAATTAGTAAACTACTACGCTTAAACACAAAGACATCAAGTTATTTAAACACACAGAAAATCACCCAGACACTTCTTAAATTTACTATTCAAATTTCCTTTCATACCCAATACTGGATATCAGTGAAAGTCACCAGTATAAGTCAATATCTCTGAACTGCCCTGTACCCACAGAGATGAGAGACCACTCGTTTTATTTGTTGCTTTTTAGAAAAAACTGCAATGGAAACTAAATTGAGTATTCCATAATCATCTTCATGGCACAATTAGCAGAAAATTAGTACTTTTTTCCTTTTTTTCTATACTCTTTTCCAAGGATCAGTTCACCTCTCAGAAAGCATCAACTCACGTAGCTGGATAGGCTTATGAGTATTAGCTGAATACAAGTCTAGCCAAAAAAGTCTGTGGATTCTACTGAAAAGAGCAAGATGACTGCACACACTATTTCCCCCCACCTCACACTTCCTACAGAACATTTATAGAAGTAAAAAAAAAAAAATAAAAAATTGTATTTCACTGCTGAACCTGACATGACAACTATATTGGCCAGTTACCCACACAAAAATAGAGGAACCATCTGGGAAGGAATCACTGTTTTGTATTTTCTCTTACTACAGCCATTTACTTTAGGCTTTGACATTTAAAATACAGAGGGTGGGGAGTGGGGTGGGAAAATGAACTACAAAATATTTTCTGCATTCCCATTTTACTAACATTTGATCATTTCTGTTACTTTTCCTTTGCACATCCAAAGCCACTGCCATTTCTGATAACATGCCATAACACCGTAAGTTTAGTTATATTTGCATACAGTCTTATAAAGTTCATGTTACCTCATCAGGGAGTGTCCAGACAAGTTTTCCAGTGTACTGTCTGTATCTGGGTTCTGTTCATGATCTTTACTAGAAATTCTGCTACTTGATAAGGATTTCTTTGTTGGTTGGGATGCCCTCTCCAATTCAGATAGCACTTTATCTTCTTCCACAGGGAAATGGTGAGAACTTCCATTGAAAGAGTCCAACCCTAAGAAGAAACATCATTGCCAGAAGTTTATGTTTGGAATTCTAAGTATGAATCTCTCACCATCAAGAGCCCCAAAACAGGTAATTGAGAACTTTTTTCCACAATTAAAGAAACCTCCGAGTTAGAAGTTTATAATTCCAACAAGCAAGAAATGTAAATTCGGCAGCTTCCTACAAAAGACTAAGTACTCTTCTGTGTATTGTGTCCACTACCAAGAAAACCGTCACTCACCTTTCAGTTCTGCACGTTACTGTTAATAAAGAAAATACATATTTGACTCTTTGATGTTGATAATCTGAATAAAGCCTAGCTTTCTTTGGGTAAGCTACAGTCAAGTATTGCACTTACGTTCCTTTTTCCCTCTCTTTTTAGAGGAAGCAGACGAGCGAGAAGATGCTGCAGACCGTGGTCCAGATGAATGCTGAGAAGCAAGCTCTGCAGATTGAGGTTCATGAGGAGACTTCCTACTCGCAACTTCTTCCTGAATGTTTGAATTACTGCTGCCAGCAACACTAAAAAGGAGCACATTGACAGTGATTAACTATGGATTTCCAGCTCCCACATTGCATTGTGCACAAGAAATCCACTACACTTTAATTAGACAGATGGCTAAAACTAGACTAATTAGTCCAACTTGAAAAGCATTGATTTTAAGATTAAAAACTATGATAGCTGAGACACTAGTAAAGTTTGACGTGATACTGAACATATTGAAACATGCTTCCAATAATAAGAAACTGTAAAAGATGGGTAACAACCATCCTCTCCAATGCTAAAAACTCTTCAGAACTATTTGACTACAGATCTGAACTTAAGAATGACTCCAAATAAGACTGCATTTTAAATAATCTCTGGGCATACAAGTATCATCAACTCACAGAAACAGCAGTGATTAGACAGGATTTGCAAAAAAATCTAGCAACGCATTACATAACAAAGAATACCAAGAGAAGACCTATTAAGAAGTTTAATCAGAAAGAAAACTTTTTTTGCATTTGTTTTCAGGGTGCAAAATGCCTTTTACCTTCCTTTCTTCTGAGGTAAAGTATTACTAGTATAAAAACAGTACTTGTGACCTTCTCTGAGGTGCCCAGAAGATGTAAATATATCTCAATTCAAAAAAGAAAAAAAAAAAAATACAAGGGGGTCTTAGAAAATTCAGGACCATGACATGAAGTCAGCAGTAACATGGAGAGCCTAGGATTTGCAGTCTTCAAATTTTAGCCTGCAAGAAAGGTTTTAAAAGTTCTTAGATGATTTACCTATCCATTACTAAGCATTACCAAACCCTTACTGAAAGCAATCATAGGTTTTTAAAAATTTTCTGAAGTACTGAAGATATCATTTTCAAATGTTTTTCTTTTTTTTTTTTTTCCAGATTACAAAGACCAACCAATTGAGCTTCATAGCTGCCACACAATATGGAGAACTAATTTTCACCTGACTACAACAGGTAAAAACCTTGCCTAAAGCTACCTGGCCAGACTAAAGAACAACAAAAATTAGACAGAACAGGAAAATTTGACTCCAATTTTTATGTCTTAACCATGCTGGTTGTTACATTAACTGCAAAGGTCCTAAAGTCGTACCTCATCACTTTGACTAGTATTACTGTACAGCGTAACAGAAAAGATATCCAGCATATTGCGAAACAAATACTGCATTAACTACTTTCTGTTGAATTCTGCATTTTGATTTTAACAAGAAGTCTAACGTGCAGCTACCTGAGGTCACGTGCAATCTTTTTGTCTGTTAAAGTGCCACTTTCCTGTGATGAGACAAAGTCATCTTCAGAAGAAACCATGCTCTCTGGAGGGCTCATGGCAGGGAGTAAAGGGTGCAGAAGGGCAGACCCTCCATTCAACCTTTCATCAAACACTAAAACATGGACAAAGAAAGGAAAAAACAAAAATGACACAAAATGACAATGTGCATCAAGCAGGTATTAAAGCTACAGGAATTATAATGCTCCCAACCATGAGTTACAAAGACTTCCTTTCAAACACAAAAACATCAGGAGAAAAATGGTGCAGCTGTCCCATGGCAGTTTTAATGCAACATAGCAAGCACAGCCCTCTTTTTGTAAATTATGAAGTGAATACTCCATTAACACACTCCAGCTAAAACATTCTTGAAGAGCACAGCGCTTGAGTAGAGCCACATGCAGAAAATTTAAATGCAATCATATTTAAGGGAAATAAAATGAAGAAAAAAAAAAAAATCAAGGCAAAAAAAACCCAAGCAAAGATAAAAAGCAATTTCTTAGAAAACACTCCTCAAACTTAGGAACTCAAGGCAAGAGAAACTACTCATAAAATGAAGAATGAATTTGTACAAAAAATTAAAATCAAATTAAGTGTTCTGCATGGGACACTTGTAAAGCATGCCCTAAGACATTAACACTTGAAAGGGCTCATTTAAACAAGAGATTGTCCCTTATTTTCTCAAGATCCAGTATTGTTAGCGAAGTTTTAATTGTTGCACTACTTTGAGGCATTATCAAGTAACTCGTATGAGGAAAGATGCAAAAAAGAAAGACCACATCATTCAGTCACTGAAGCTAGTATAGTAAAGCTATATTCTTGCATAGGAAAGTTTACGGCAACAACAGCATAGTAAAGCTGTTGCATAGCAAGTTTACGGCACTTATGTTTACACCATAAAGTGCTGCATAAAGCATGTTATTTCATCTTTCTGCTTTAACTGAAACAGGGATGGCATCTTATTACAGATGATCTGGACTGCACACATAATAGGAGGATGCACATTCCAAACCAGAGGGTCTGTTCGCATAGTGGAGAGACCATTTCCAAATGCATTCTGGGCAATTTAGATTTAGCATGTAATTCTGGATACAATTAACTTTACATTCATAATTCCGTAACTATGGGCATCCTTAATAAATGTAACCCAGTACATATGAATTAGCTACTAATCTAGAAACACACAGCAATCTAATATAAAAATAATATTCTTCCAGCCCAAAAGCATGGTTTTTTTTTCCTTTTTCTCTTTTTTTCCATAGACAAGGCAGCAAAAGAAGGCAAGGGGAAGTAATTTAACATTCAAAAGTAAAGTGAGAAAGCCTTACACAGATTCATGTTTGAGACATCTAAAAAGCACATTCCTTACCTGTGAAGTATAAAGTGTATGAAATAGTAAAACTAGGAAAACAGGAATTCACAAGAGCTTTGAGAATTTTTTCCATTTTTACCTTTTCCATGAAGTTGGTAACTTTTCGCAAAGATGTTGATGACACTGTGAGGACTTCCCTTCGCCAGTTCCTCCCATGGCCCCTTGCTGTGTGCATCACTTGTCTGAGTGAAAAGTGGCAAATATTTCTCGGCTGCTTTCTGAAACTCCTTTATGGGCTCAAATGCATTTCTATCCCGAATGCAGAAATCCTTCTCCTTTAATGTCTCCAGCATTTTCAGCGGCAACTGTCTGTGCTGCCCTACTTCCTCTTCAGAGAGGCTTCCGTCACTTGGGAGAGGCCCTTCACTGATGGAGTCAATGCTGGACTCATGAGGAATTACAGCTTTGTTCAGAGTGTAAGCCTGGTTTTCATGCCCAAGGGAGTCTGTCTGTCTCTTACATAAATGTCCTGGCATCCCTTCATGCCTGTTAGCAGCAGGGGACCTCATTCCAAGGCTGACTACATCAGCATGAGGCCTGATAGAGTCAGGGAGCTTTTTAAATTCACTAAGGTTGCCTGCACCAGGAAGGCTGTCATCAAAGGCTGTATGAGACATACAGGTACCCAACATTTTTTGAATCCTGGCTGAAATAGCATCTTCATTTTCCTCTCTCACAGGAGGACTCACAGCCTTTGCCCACCGCCCATCATCCTGTTTTTCTTGCATGAATTCATGGTCCGAGTTCCACATGGTACCATAATTGATGCCAGCCCCAGCCAACTTTTTGGCTTCACTTTCAATCCTGCTAGAAAGTGAAGCAGCTGTAGCTTTCAAAGCTTCAATCCGATCTAATTTGCTCTTATATTGATTAGCAGTAGGTTTCACTAAGAGGTTTTGCTGTGCTGCAGTTGAATTCAGGTACAGCTGAGGCATCAAGGTCAGTGATCCCATGGGTGCAGCATGTTTCCTCTTGCCTGCCATCATGGCATCACATTCCTTTGACAAAATATCCATCTGCTCCAGACTCCAGTGTTGGGAGCAAGGGCCTCCACTTGAGCCCATGAGCATTGATGGGTGAGAGAGCTGCACTCTTGGGCTCAACCTGTCTGGCTGTATCCATGGAGGCTCCATCAAATCAGTCCTGAAATGGAAAGCCAACATTTAAGTACCGTAGTACTTTAAAAGAGAGAAAGAGAAAAGGCCCACAGTGGCTCACCTCAGCAGCGGCTGCTGCGGTTCCGAAAGCGACATGTCACTACTTGAAGACGCACTTGGAGGACGCTCTTGAGCCTTGTTTTCTTTGTCAGATTCCCCAGATGGCTGATAACCAGGTCTGGGCTAGAAATGAAGACAACCAGAAAAATGAACTTTCAAAATCTTTAAGAGTTTAGAAGTTCATCTCATTAAAATTGAAAAGGCTTACATTTCTCAGTGTAGTATCCCATCTTACCTACCACACAAAGACTTAAAAACACAAGACATTTATGTTTTTGTCTCAGCAGAATGTACTGTGAAAAAAGCAAAAAGCTTTGCTTACATACTTAACTAGTTCAGCCAAACACAAACTGATATTAGTCTTTCACCATATATTAATCTTTTTTCATGTTCAGTTTCTGATTAGCAAATTTAACTCACTGCTGAAGTTTGTCTACTGACTGAAAGCAACCTCAAAGCTCTCTAATTCAGAGTTGGACTTCAGTTTTCTTAACAGACAACCTTTATAGCTGCTTTAAGTTATTATCCAGAATTCTGCTTCTATTTGTAACAGAAAGGTTATTTCCAATCACCTTTCTTATAGGCCTTGCTGTGACAAAAAGCAGCCACTAGCAAGGAGGGTCCAGATCAAAACCACTATATTTAAACAAAATCTATACTTTTCCTTCTATCCTTTTTCTTAACTGATAACTGGACCAACTCATGACCTTCCTAAACATATGACCTCCTATTCCTGCAAACAACTGAAACACAAGTTAGTGAATCAGCTATTACCTGTGTTTCCTGCACTGTAGGCAGCTGAGGTGGCTCTTCTAAAATCGTATGTTCCAGCAATAACTTAGAATAGGTTTCCTGTAACCTTTTGGCTGCTGAAGGCTCAGGAGGAGGCACATTCTTCACTTTAGTAAAAGCTTCCTTCTGCTTTCTGTAAAGCTCTTGGAGCCTTTTGTTCTTCTGTTCCGTTGCCTCCTTCTGTGCTTTCTTCTCTTCATTCTGCTTTTTTTTCCTCTCCTCTTGTTGCCTGATGATGTACTGACGAACCTCATCTGTATCATAGTGACGTTTCTTAGAGATCACCTGAGGCTCCTCACTGGCGGCTATCTTGTCCGGTTTCCTTTTGGTGGGACTGTGACTCCTGGCATTTTGAGTGGGCAATAGAGATTTCTGATTCTGCTTTTCCCCATCTTTCTCCTGCTTTGTACTCATGGAATCCAGCTGCAAGTCATCGAGAATTCCACGTATCTCTATGGGCAGGAAGTCCTTATTTACAGAGGCATGATCTTCTTGCTTATCATCTTGAAGAGCAGCTTTCAGTTTCTTCAGATTATTCTCGGAATGTACTTTACTTCTTGACCTTTCAAAACTTCTTGAAGAGGTTTTACAGGTAACATCCAGTCTAGAATCTGAACCTGTCCTTCCAATACAGCCTGCTAAAGAATAGTCACATATTTCAGGTAAAAATAAAATTTTGGAAATTACATGAGAACATTGCAACAGCTGCAAAAGGGGGGATGAAGGAGGAGTGCAAATCTCACTGTAAATGTGCTTTTGCTTCATTGTCATAATCTTAATATAGTAGCCTTTGCTTCGACTGAGCTCACACCCTTTATAGTCTTAACCAGCCTCACCACCTCACAGGCAGTAAGAAGCACAGCAGCTACCACCATTCCTTACTTGTGCTGTCTGAGATTCTGGATAAATTCTAAAAAGGGTTGGTAGAGGAGTCAGTGAAGATTTATGATGCACATAGATGATGGGATAGTATCTGGAAGAACCCCAATTCCTGTAAAACAGGGATGCCCAATTCTAGCTTACATATTATATACAGCATATCTGGAAAGTTCATAGGGCCTGTGGACCACTGCTAGCCATTCTTTTCCTCACTAGCTTCAAGAGGTAAAGACTGACTGCAGGTGGTCTCTATTTTTTTCGTTGCAAACTTATCGGCCATCTTTTCCTGAGTGCCTTTGCAGCATGTAACGTACCTCAAGTCACTTGCAGGGTAAGCTTCCCATGACACCAAGCAAAGTTCATAATCCACCCAGAAAGAGAGGTTAATGCATCACAACAGTGGACATGAGCAAAATCGCTCCCCCAAATCCCAGGTTAAAAATAGGAGTTATTAAAATAAGAACCTGATTTCATTCTGTCTCAGAAGTCTGCTTTATTCTGCAGACACAGTGTTATGTAATAAAGTAGTAAAAAAAAAAAGTAATTAAAAAGTCCAGCGATAAAAGTACAACTTACCAGTCTTGGCAGCTCTCTCTCGTCCTGTTCTGTCACTAGATACAGCTCTTCTGTCCTGTTCTATTCTGGGAGCTGGACCCAGTATCTTTTTTACTAGCTTTTGTCCCTCCCGCCAGGAGGATGCATTTATTACATAGTTTCCACCTGCACAGTAAGTAATAAATAAAAGTCAAGTATCAGATGGATTTTCCAACATATCAAACAATACTTATTGCAACCACAGATTATTTCTATACCATTTAGTTCTGGCGTAAGTGGCAGGACTGCAGTTATGTCATAACATTAACGTATCACAACAATACTCAACAGCTCACACAACTACCAGTGCTTCATGCCTATGCATAACACAATCTAAACATCCAAACCCCACTGTAGCACATTAATGCCCTACAAAAATTGATTTAAAAAAGAAAAAAAAAAGGAAAAGAAAAAGGTGGGGGGGGGGGGGGATGGTGTTACACAGGTCTAAACCATACAAGCATATGTTACTGGGATGAGGGGAAATAACTGTAGAGGTCTGAGAAGAAGCTGTTCATCTTCACTCAAATAAGGAAAATAAGAACAAATAAAAGGAACAGAAAAAGAACAATAAAGGTGGGAGATAAAGAACAATTCACCTTCATACAAAAAGAAGGTTAGTTGTTATTCTAAGGGGAAAAAACAACCTTCAGAAATTTTCAGGTAACTGTTACAATACGTGTCTTGGGAAAGGTTAGAAAAAATAGACAGCAGCAGTTGTTCTAAGCCAATGCTAACACTCTGTCCTCCATCTGGGATTTCCGTACCAAGACTGAAAATATTTAAAATAAATGCTATTAGTTGATACTTAATTCAAGAGCAGACTATCTTGTAAGTGACAGAAGGCAAATCAAAATGTTACTATTATTATTATATCATCCCACATATAATTAGATGATAAAAAACTGGGTATGATGGCTTCTTTACCTAATATTGGTTTGATCAAATGCTGTTATTCAGCTCACCTTTCATCCCAATAACTTCCAATATTGTTAATTTTTTATTATTTTTTTAATAATGACCTTAAAGAGCTCTGGAGAAAAGCATCACATAAAAAAATAAAACCATTAATAACCTACTTCAGACAATTTAGCAGTTACCTTATTGCTAGAAAAGTACCTAACTTCAATACACAATCTGCAGTTGCTTTCTAACCATTCAGTTTCAGGTTCTACCTCTGACAGCACTGACTAAACAAACCCAGACACTGCAGCATGAAAACAACACAGCCAAAGTAAAAAAGACTGTTGTCTGGGCCCAACAGGATTTGAAGATAAAATCCAAAGCAACTTCAAGTGAAGTCCAGGACAGCAGAACAACGGTGTTTCTGTAATCCCAGTCCCTAATTTCCACACCCTGCCACCCCCCCCTTTCCTTTTTGTTATTGTAAAACAGGAGGAAACTTGCTCAGTCAGAAGCCTATAGCCCACTATTCTTCCATTTACTAACAGTATTCTTTGCTTACATTGTAAATTAACCAAGTATTTTATAAATCTGCCACTTAAAACATGTCACTACAAGCCTCTTTGAAACAGATATATCAGTCAAAGGGGTTCTCTCATGGAACTCACTGTTCTCCATTACTTCTATGTGCTTTTAAAAAGGCAGTGTAAAGTCTCATCTTCCATTTCAAGTCAGCTGTTTGAACTAAAACACGCTAACAGAGCAGAATATGAGCTCTGGCTATTTATAGCCTTGGCTATGTAAAGCATTTTCTTATTGCTATGACTGAAGGAGGACAGACCATCACAGATATACCACTCAGTTACGCTTGTTATCTTCTAGGGATTTCAGGACATCATTCTCCTCACATTTAATCCATTACGGTGAATAATCATTGCCACTAAAACTTGCAGCAATCTTTGTGCTCCCCCATCACTTGGAACTGTCACAAATACGTAAGTTAAGATAGTTTCATCCCTTAAGTATGAACTGATCAGCACAGGAAGGAGCAAATCCATATTATCACTTCAAGTGACAGGCTGAGAAAGTTGGGGCTGTTCAGCCTGGAGAAGAGAAGGCTGCGTGGAGACCTCATAGCAGCCTTCCAGTACCTGAAGGGGGCTTATAAGGATGCTGGGGAGGGACTCTTCATTAGGGAATGCAGTGATAGGACATGGGGTAATGGGTTAAAACTTAAACAGGGGAAGTATAGACTGGATATAATGAAGAAGTTCTTTACTGTGAGGGTGGTGAGGCACTGGAATGGGCTGCCCAGGAAAGCTGTGATTGCTCCATCCCTGGCGGTGTTCAAGACCCAGTTGGACAGAGCCTTGGGTGAGATGGTTTAGTGTGAGGTTTCCCTGCCCATGGCAAGGGGGTTGGAAGTAGATGGTCTTAAGGTCCTTTCCAACCCTAACGATTCTATGGTTCTATGATTCTATGATTCATTATCACAAAATAGTCACATGCAGCTTCATGATTTACAGCTTGCAGAAGCACATTCACTCGAAAAAATCTTTGCAATGATTTTTTAAAGCTTTTTTTTTTTTTCCTCAACAAAGTATTTACCAATTATGTATCACTGTATGTAAGGAGAAATCAATTCTTTAGAGGTGCAAGAGATACCTAATACCACATGTATTCAAAGAAAAATATTGCTCTTTAATGGGACTGCAGTCATAACCACTTACTTTGTATGAAAAATAAAACCAAATGCAAAGCAGATGTGGAAGTCTTCCTAATTCTTTTGCTACACACAATCAAAGATTAACATTACTGGAAAACTAAGAAGTGCTGACAGAATTCCACATATAGTTAACTCAATTTTCTACTGTAGAGGAGTGCCTTATAGTAATCTCACATCATCTTCTCCTAATACTTTAATTTTACTTGATGGAGAGTGGAAATATCAGACAACAGTGGAAAAAAATAATCTTAATTGGTTAAAGAAATAAACATTCCTTTAGAAATATCAAAATCTGTAACTCTTGTCAAGGAACAGGTTTTTGTAAGTTTCACTAACTTAAAAAGCCAGGAATGGGTCAAGCCAGAACTAAGGGTGCAGGACAGCAACAACTTGATAAAGGACATAGAATGGCAACAGCCAGAGAAAAGCCAGAAGGACATCTGTTCTCTGCTTCTCCACTGAGCAATCATGCAAGTGAACAGCTTTTACTGCAGCCCCTCTTTGCAGAGAAGGTCAACTTGGCAAATCCCACTGGCACTCCTTGCCATTCCTCTTCTCAACATTAGTTGAGAAGGCACTAATCAGCTTTGACACAAGCAAAATAGAAGAAGAATCCAAACAGAGCTATTGCTTTTTGTCTGTGTCAGCCTGACTGATATCTAAGGATACCCACCCCCACACCCCAAGAAACACATGCTCTTTAGCAGTTCCCATAAAGTGCTCACAGCAAGTGGAAAGGCAGAAAATTAAAACAAACAAAAAATAGCACATACAGCCAACTACCCAGTAACAAAAACACACACATCCCCAATGCAGCATATAGTCTACAAACACACTACAACAGCGCTGTCACATATCTGAGAAGACTTGGAAAGTAACATGCTTTAATTTCTCTTTATTTCTTGAGACAACTCATCTCCGAAGGACAAGTGACAGCCTTCCCTCTACAGTAGAGCTAGTCACCTTGTTTGGACTCTGGACTTGACAACCGTGTCAGTTTTTGTACTTTCCGCACTGGTCTGGTTGCTTTTTTCTCTTTGTTTTTCTCACTAGGTTTTCCTTTCACTGTTGAATGTTCTAAAAAGAAACAAAAGCTGTTAAGTGATATCCCACAGAAAAGAACATAGAATGACAAGCTTGCTTCAACATTTACCTTAAAAAAAGGGAACTTGGAAAAACACAATAAAATTCACTGACTCTCCCACATTATATGTTGAGACCAACTACTCCCAGTCCAGCATTTTAAAATCCTGGTATCATGAAAACTTTAAATCAAGTGTTCCTTACCTACCCACTGGAATGCAGCAAACACACAGCAATGCCGTAATAGATCTTTACAAAGTTCATGTTAAATTTTAAAAGAAATGTTAACAGTTTGGCAGGAACAATTGCTGGTTCGCTTCTACTACAGATATTACATTTTTCAGTATTAATGTTCCACAAGAACACGTAGTTCCTTCAACATCTGAAACGCACAGGCTGCTGCTTCTGTTTCAACCCATGACAGCACAAGCACTCGTTGCTGCCATGCTGCAGCATGAAAGACAGGATACCTGCAAAACTTGTCACAGAATTCACCCAGCAATGCAGAACTATTATGTACCACTTAAGGCCTCATCTACAATACAGTTAGGTTTTAGGCTTTAGAGATGCCAGGAACACTTACCAAAGTCATATTTTACCATGTTCTCATGTTGGGGTAAAAAAAAAAAAAGGAAACCAGGAATGTGGCTCAACCACCAGCCCACTGAGTGCGTTTCCCAGCTCCCCAGGTTACAAAGCAGAGACAAGCACTGCTCAAGAAGGAAAGGCAAGCTATATATTCGGTCTCAGCAGTCTCCACTGGACATGTTCAAAGATTTCTTAAAGCACTTCAGTTTGCATGCCTTGAAGATGCTCTCAATCCTGAAATGATCTGTAGATAAGGCACTCCATGGCCATTACAATCACTGTTTTCCTGTATCCCTTTAGAAAGAGTGTGATCGACAACCTGAAATAACCTCTCCATGGATAGATCCGAAGCTTTATTTAGATGCCAATAATAACTTTTACAGTCCCTAATTTTAGCTGAGTCTGCTCTCTAATGGATGTCCATAGGAACTATAAGAGACAGAACAACAGGTCTTATTAAAGGATGTAGGAAAGGAATTTTTAGAGTCTTTCTCCCTTGTAACATCCTTTCCTTACAAATTTTCCAGTCGTCTTTGAGGCTTACAAGTGCAGGGAAGACAGAATAAATGCATCAAGTACCAGTGGCCTCAGTGACTGCATTTACAGAAGTCTAGCTTGCCTCCTCACCTCTTCCAATGAAAAACAGTTCCTTCCTGATACCAGGAAACTGCATGCTGCCTCCCACTCTATTCATATTTTAGCAGTTTTGTTTTAGTACTGCAAGTCCTGAACATCTTTCAGACAGAATTACTGGAAGCTTGGGGTCCATACAATGTCCTTCAGCCTAACAGCTAAACAAAGAAAAAGATGTTCTGTATGGTCTACACTTACATGTAAAAATCTTGTTACAGTAAAGAACAATGCTTCTGAAGATATAAGAGATATTATAGCTTATTTTAGCACCACAGGACACTTTTGATACAACTGACTCTACACACCCAAACCTCTAGGCTGTAGTTTAAAGGCTGTACCTTTAATACAGAATTAACACAGATAGATAATCCAAAAGCCTAAAAATACATTTAGAGAATATATTATGTACAGCACCAGCATTTGATTGCTTGGAATCAGCTATTCAATATTATCTTTTCAGGTCAGAAAGAACACGTGTTCCACAACAGCTGTTCTTTGCATGGCATCAAGACAGGAGTACGGGTGAACACACACAGAGCTCCTTCCTTTTGTAGGCAGAAGTCCACTGAACACATTATCCAAATGCCTTTTTAATAAAACCTCTTCAGTGAAGCTTCTAAAAAATTTTGATTTCTACAAAAAGCTCATTGATTATTTATATTTTGCTTGTCAAAACTACAACCCCCCCCCCCAAATTAAATGCTAGTGTAGATTAAAAGTCTGGAAATTTTCATAGGCTTGACTACTTTCATAGGCTGATGCTGAGTAGAGTATGTGAAAAACAACTTTACTGAAAAGAAGTGGCTCTTCTTTCCGAAGAGTTTTTTATGAATGATTCCAGAAAATCTCCTCAGCACCTTGTTAAGCTGTACTGAAATCTAATAATTTCTATACCAGCCACTATACTATCAACATACAAAGACACCTACAAGTTTACAATCTCATCATATACTCCTCTGGTCTTGAATGTATTGACCAATAAGAAAGGTTATTTTTAATACACAAATTCTTAAGCTGCAAAACTATAGGCTCTTTAAGGAATTTTATTTTCCCTTCCCTTTCTTTTCATTCACCTGATATCTCCTCTCCCTCTCCCAAGTCAGTCAAAAGCAATTCAACCTTACAGCACTCCCCTGTAACCAGCCTAGCAAATCAAAATGCACACTTGAGCATTCTATCCTTGATCACCCAGAGAAATGAGCTGCCAATCGTACTACAGTTTTCCAAAGTGAAAAATGAATAAAGACTGTGTGTTAGAGCAGTACATTTGAGGACATAAAGCATGTATCACTGTTTTGGTCTGTTAGCAGTGTAACTGTTAAGTAAATACAGGTTTTTTATTGTTTTTGCTCACAATTTTAAGTATCAGAATACTTTGTTGCTCAATGAACTCATCACTTAGAGATCATTTCTCCTGTGTTGACATTCTGCAACAATGTTTTTCAAAAGACCATTAGGCAAAGAGGACTGAGTAACAGTTTCCTGAGCTTTTAGCATTCAAGGTTCCTTCCTACACCTTCATGTGGAATAAATCCCAAAGTTAACACGTCCTGTTATTTTCTCAATGCAAAGTTATTCAGTCTCCCACCCCACATCCTATCCATGCCTTATAATACTGAAGGTAAAAGTTGTACAGGAAATAAAATATAGACTATTTACAAGATTTCTTAAATCTTCTCTGATCTACCTGTTCTCCCCTTCCTCAAGGAATTCAGGTAAGAAATCTCTAAAAAAGTGCATATGTGCAAATCTCTAGGATACAAATTTCTCCAACAGTTATAACACAGTTCTACAAGTTCAGAGATATTAAATCAACTTAATGCCATATAATCTCACCACCACCCTTACTGCAGGCTACCTCCTCCATTTTAAATAAGGATTTCCAGAGACTTCCTACAGCAGACAACTCCCATCTCCCCTTTAGCTACCTATATGTTCCAACTAAACCACTAACAATTCCCACAGCAGCTTCATGTCCAAAAATGTGTTAATAACATATTGAAGTATGCAGAATGCAGCCTACAACATAACACTGTATCACATTAATGGTGCTTAAAATGCCAAAAATAACCCCCAATTGTTCCCATGACATAATACAGGTTTCATCAAAACCAAAAGTGGATCAGATTTGTGCTTTTAACAGGAAATTGCATTCATTCACACAGACACATATAAAGAAGTTACAAACTTAAATGACAATTGTTCTACCAAAGAGTTGTTTGTGGGTTTTTTTGTCTGTTTCAAAGAAAAGCCATCATTTGATTGTTTTTAGTATTGGTTTCCTATTAAAAGTATTTTAATGAGAGAATGGGGAGATGGATTTTTTTTATTCATTTTAGTGTTCAATGATTTACTCCTCCCGTGTAAAGAATACAATATATTTAACACTCATTGCTTCGACTTTTTGTTTCCAGGACTTTGCAGACTTGTTCAAAATATCCTTCTCTGCCTCTTAAGAACAGGTTGTGTGGTTTAATCACTTCAGTTTGTGTCTCACCTGTTAACTGTAGTGCTATATCTCTATACAACTCCCGACTAATGTGAAATTTTTCATCATGCCAGATCTTCCCATCTAGAGTACGAATTCTTGTTTCAGCAGGATTGAAACCTGAAAGTAAATAATTTAGGAGTTTAAAATAACTGCAACAAGATGTAAATAAAGCTTTCTCAGGGTGGAAGAGGTGGGGAACTGCCAAGTAAGAAAGTCTGGCAGTTGCGCACAGTTGAAAAACAGTAGACTGCATGAAGAAAAGATTATTAAAAATGTGAAAGGCTTTCTCAATCAATAAGCTCTGGGACCATAAAATAAAACATACTAAAATAAAATTAAATGCTAATACAGTGTGCTTTTTTTACATAGTAATGCGGAATGAGACAGGAAAAATTTCAAAAGAATCCACAGTTCTCTAAATAGGCAATAATTTCCTTTTTTACTTGTCCATATCTTTGATCAAACCATGCTATTCCACTTCTGTACTGCCAAACACAGTTATGAGTCACATCCATGCTTTGACATGTTGCTCAATGAATTGAACTCCACTCCTTCACCATGTATAACCAACAGGGAGGGATTCTGCACCTCCGTACCTCTGTATGATGGAGCAGCAGGTGCAGTTGCCACTTTCCTGACTTTGGGAGTTACTGTATTCTCCATGTTTGTGATCACAACAGGCTGCTCAACATAGCCTGAGTGCTGCCCTCTGCCACCCAACTCTTCAGAATGCTCCCACTGCTTCCGAATCCGCTCCTTCAGCTTCTCCAACTTAGCATCATGCTGCTGCCGCTTCAAAATCTCCAGCCTATGAGCACTAGAAGTACTGGTGGCAGAAGAGGAAGACGCTTTCAGTTCACTGTCCCGGGATGTGTTACTCTGAGGAGTTTTAGTGCTACTCTCATCTCCTCCAGAGCCACTATTTTTTTCCTCATCCAATCTTGGAGGTGTTGCAGCCTTAAGAAATGCCTCATTATTCTGCAAGGCATCAATAGCTGGTCGGTCATTCAAATACCTAACAACAGTCTCGCCTGCAGCAGAAGAACATGGGCTTTCAAAATCTCTGCTCTGTAGATCCCGCTCATCTCGGTCATGTATCATACGGTCTATTATCTCCGTCTTCCCTTGTGCTTCACTGAAGTCCAAACTAGAGAGCAATTGATTGGCCTCAAGTTGGCTGGAACCATGATAAGAGAGAGAATTGTATGTATCCCTGATGTAACAGAAGGAAAAAAGATGTCACCATCAGAAATACAACTGTATGACCTTCCAACCCAGCAATCGACATATTCATTAACTGCAAGAATGACTTCCTATACCTCATCTCCACTTTAAAGGTAAGCTCTTCTAAAGTTTGATCACCACACATTTAATAGTGCAAGTGTGATGAAACTGAAAGAGGTTTCCTGTTAAAGATTTCATTTTCTGCACTCTCTGTCTGAACATGACTATATATAAAGTTGAAAAGCTGAACGTTGGTTATGTAGAAAACCAGCAAACAGTAATGTCACCCCTCAGTTTAAAAAAACCTTTACATTAAAAAACAAGTGCAAAACTTGAGAAGTATAATTAATATCCATTTTCTAAAACAAACCACCGCCCAGCTTCTTGACAGCACAGTCATTAGCCGAGAAAACAAAATGCACAAGAAAACCCTGTCCTGTATTTGAGCATTAAAAAGGCAAGCCCCTGACAAGAACTTCAGACTGAACTGGATGTATTGCAAAAAATATAAAGCCTACTGAGAGCTTAAAAATTCAACAAACTAAGGATCTCTTAGCATTTTGTATATAATGTATTTAATGTTTTCACGAATGAAGGGCTGAAGATACTAAAAACTGGCACTTAAGCTACCTGGTTTGCTTCTTCAGCAAGTACATTTAAAGAACTGACCTGAAGCCAAGTCATAACACTGTACTTGTGAAATTGTCTACCACTCTTTCTCTAATAGCACACTGCTGCTGCATAGTGCACTAATCATTACCAACCAATATAACAGCTGTGCGGTTTAAATGCACAAAATTTCATCAAAAGTATACATAAATATACAGACAAGCAGGTTGTTCTACCCATTAGTCTGGCTTTCTGGCTTTTGTTTACTTATGCACACTGTAAGCACTGACTAAAGGCTTGCTCTCAGAGCAGGAATAATGTTAACCTAGCAGCTCTGATGTTACTTCCCAAATTAATGCCCCCAGAGCCACACAGTTCTTTTTACTGTAAAAAAGCCATTCTTTCCACCTGGATGTAACAGCATGAGTCTAGCTGCTCTCATTTTCTTGCTTTCCCTGAATTCCATTAAATTTACTATGTAGTTTTGCAACAAATAACTGATGTAAATTATTGCAGATAGGGAAGACAATAAAACTGACCAAAGATTACACAACTGATTCACATCAGTCTACCATGCAACAAACAAGGAGAAAAGCTTCACAGCTGGCAAGAAGTGGAAAAGGGGACCAAAACTCAGGTCTTAGGATAATGATTATTAATAGAGATCTAGTAGAATTTTAAAAAATACCACTGTCCCAACTCCACTCTAATCAGCCATCAGCAACCCCCAAATCTTTGTGAGAACATTTAGAAAAATACTCAAACTATGTGTTAGAATCCAATAAAAAGACTATTAAGAACCTAACAAAGCTAATCATCAGGGATGCCTGTGCAAAGAACACACACTGCTTAAAAATCATGAAGAATTAAAGAAGTTATGGTAGAAGTCTTTTAGGCTCTGATATTACAGCAAGTTATAGGGAGTTTATTTTGACTGCATGTTCTCTAAGTTTTTAAGGCATCTTATGTTCATTACAGCACTTAACATACACTAAGAAAAACAGGCTTTCCATATTTTCCTTCATTCCTCATACCCACCATGCCCTATGTTCTCAAATATTCCAAGCCACTTTTTCTCCTTGATACAGCTATTCTTATTTGGGTTTCTCACACACAAGAACTGAATGCAAATTTAGTACTAGATGTTCTTGCTATACACCATCTTATGATAACACATTTGGGAATACGTGATGAAGAACTAATAAAACAAAGTTGGATAACAGGAGGAAATACTCTTTTTAGTTCTTATAACTAAACCAAAATACCTATCAAACTTACAGGCCACTGAGGCCACAGCCAAATCAAGTTGATGATCTGGCTCTATTTCAAGACATCTGGCTTTAAACTCACATTCACTGAATGATAAATAAGTTTGTATTTTATTTAATTTTTTTTTTTTAAAAGGAAAACACTTTTGTCCAACACCACAGGCTATTCATGTGGGTGGGTGAGGGGAGGAAGCAAATAATTTTTTGAGGAGCTTTCAAAAAACATCACTATTAGCTTAATTTTGATCTTAGCATATTTTTCTTTAACAGTCAACTGTCTCAGCACTAACCTGTATGAAGCCAGTGGCTCATGAAATTCCACATGATTGCTTTTTTTCACATTGCTTTCAAGAGTGGTCGCTCGAAGAGGGCTGCGTGAGGACTTTTCCTTGCTCGATTTATTTTGGCTGGAGGACTGGGAAGCTGAAGCAGAAACCAAAGAATTCTCTATGTACCTATCTCTCCAGAATGAGAAAACTCTTGGGGAAACAATTAAGAACACAGTTTTCCTTAGGTTTAAGCAGCACTCCAAAATAACATCTAAAGTACTTCCTCTCTTTTTCAACAAGCTGATTTCAACAGCTAGGAGGCAAGGTGGCAAGTACTTGAAACAACAATTGTATTTAAAGATAGATAATAATGTTTAAACATTGATTATAAGTAATTAAATTTGTGAAAGCTGTGTTGCCACTAGAGGTCGACCTGTCTGTTCTTCTCCAGGGGCACACTACCAGAATGCTTTGAACAGTATTTAAAATGAGGGCTTATTTCTTATAAGCAAACGCTTTCCTTAAATGAAATAAAGGGAGCATCAGGGTATAACAGTTGACAAACAATAAAAAATAGAAACAGCTAGTCCAGCATAAACAATTGTCACCCACCTGCCCCCCCAGAGAACTCATGGTATCAGAATGGGATAAACACTGCTCACTCACAACATCAGAAAGTCTTGTCCCTCCCTGTAACCCAGTGACTGTGATAGTACGCTTTCCTCCCTAAGCTAAGGGAAGAAAACTTTAGTTTCTCATGGGCAATTAGTTTCATGAATAAAGATCATTAGCAGGAGACAACTTGAGGGCAGGGAGGAAAAATCAAGTTTTCCCAGATCACCGTGGTTTTACCCTGCCTTACACACTATACCCTCAATAACACATACCTTTTCTGCTTATTTTCCTGCTAGCACTAGCAGAGGGCTTCTTGGCATCCATGACAGAATCAAATACAGCTGTGCTGGTGGGAGCTATTTCCAATTTGTTCTCTATATGACGTAACTAGAATTTGAAGATAATGCAAATTATAATAGTGTTTTCAGTTTTTAGGCTACAGGGTTTTATTCCTCTAATGTGACCAATTTTTCTTCATTTCATAAAGAATAAAGCCACAGGCAAAAGCAACTTCACAAGGCTGATACCATAAAACTGCATAGCCTTATGGCCAGAAACTACATCAGATTATTAAGTTTTGTTTAACAGGATTATGTAAATTAGGTTTTGTTACATAGTTCTGTTGCATAGTTTTGCTTCCATAGGCAGGCTATTGTGAAAAAAATAAAATGAAAAAATTAATAACAACATGCCATGCAGAATCTTAATGCTTGGCCTGAATGAAAAAGCAATCTCATTTGGAATAAATTCTGTAATACCCTTTTCAAAATCGAGCATGATACAAGATTCCACATGTAAAACCCCACATTGATGCTAAGCTATCAAAAAAGAGATGGACTAGGCTATGTAAAAGAGCTGAATTCCATGAAAAAACAAGATGTTTGGCTTACCTGAAGCCAGGTTTTAGAAACTAGTTAAATTCTCACAGAAAAACAGCAATTCCAATGCTCAAAGATGAAATACACTGGTGTTGTCCCAGTTTCTGACCAGTAAACAGGGGAGAGCTATTTTTTCAAGTTTTCAGAAGTCACCGCTTTTTTACATAGAAAGCTAATACTAAACTCAAGACTCAGCATGTGTTACTACACTCAAGACTGAGCTTTCTGTGGCAAACATTTCTTCTACTGCACGTGGAAATCTGCTTCCAAGATAGAACAATGGCCAACATGCATATATTCCAACTGCTTGCCTTATTTCAAACTGTTTAACAATCAGTGAACAATACCCGAGTTAAAAGTTGTGTAGCCATTAACTGATTTGAAAAGGAGTAAGACCAAAAAACAAACAAACAAACAAAAAAAACACAAAAGAAAAAAAAAAAAAAATCAGTACTTACAGCAGCCTTGGTCTGAGAAAAAGTAGCCCATGCTGCAGTTAGATCTTATGGTGCAGAAAAAAAAAACAGAAATATGTTTCTCATTAGTACATGTAAAACAATGAAATAAAATGCTGCTTCAAAACAATTTTCATGGGCTCACTAATCAAATTCTTTTAATGACTCAGTTCCAGCCTGTCAATGTCCTCTAGGAGAGGCTGCTATCAGTCAAGACTCATTTAACCAGAGCAATAAAGTACATAATGTAAAACGAGTATGTAATGTTAACGAGTTCACTACATTAGGTCAAGTATATTATTACACTTGAAATCAAATCTGTCACATTAAAGAAGTTGTTTAGAAGACAAAATAAAAGCTGGTTATCTACCCCAGTGCAAGTATCTTGCATTTTTCCATTACACTATAGTTTAACTACTTTTTTTCCCTCCCGTTTTCTTCTTCAGTAAATTAAGCATGAATACATGATCACTGAAAGACTCTACTCAACAACAAGCTTTGAGCATGTAAATTCTGAACTGTACACCCTACAAAAAAAACAGAAGCAATGTTTGCAAAGAACAAGCGTGAGGCACTAATCAACTTCAGACTTTTGATCTAAACAGCACTTGCTCTTTGTGCAAACTAGTTCAGTTAGATGCATTAGTATTTTCCTGTAAAAGTACTTACTTTTTCAGTTCTCCTCTTCTTTTGGATTCTAATGGTTTTCTTCTAATGTAATGGTTTACGCAACACAACATCCAAAACTTTAATGTGTGTCAGAACCATGAGAGTAGTAGGGTCAGTGTTTTTTTAAACAAATAAATAAATAAATATTTTCCTTACAGTTGAAAAGCTGCCAATTTAATTTCAGGTAAGATAACCCTCTTCCTTTGTGTTGCTGTAAGGAAGCAGCATAGCAACAACTTCACTTTGATTTCAAAGAGATGGTGCTTCATGCCTACAGAACACCTCAGTTTCACAAAGTACATAATTTTAAAAGAAACTGAACATACCCCAGAAAACAATAAGCAATAATGTCCTCTTACAGAAAAATAATAATCTGCCTCTACTTTCAAAATAGCTTCTGGAGTCCAGTTTTGTCATAGTGGAGATCATAAGACTAATCTTGAACCACAGACTTAACATGCAGCTCAGCTCTAGACTATAGCTTTCTTCCTCCCAGGGATGTACTGTAATTACATGACAGTAGAAAGCAAATAGGATTTCTCCAGTTCAGGGAGACAGAAGTTCTGCAAGTCATCCTAGTCCAGATGTACTGCTGCTACTCAAGTGTCCTTAGCTCTTCACCGCTTTGGAACTGAGAAAGAATCAGAAACTACTGCCTCTCAGGCTCTTCACTTCTTTCAAGAGCCTACGGTTCAGTTTCTGTTCCCTCACTGCTCACCCTCCACAGTACTGAAAAAAAAAAAATCCGTCTCTGTGTCATCTTGGCAACCATATGATAGCCTGGCAATTCCTAATGCAGATCAGCAAATAACTGCAGATCAGAATATGAAACTGCTATCTCTGCAAAAATGAAGCCATATAACACATGGTCTTTGCTTCCAAATTGAGGCAAGAGAATACTTTCTGTAACTCCTCAAATTTTCAAACAACATGTTTTTCATGATAAAACATCTTCCAAAACAAGGCAATAAAACAGAGAAAATTCCTACCTCTGGCAGAGTCCTTGGTTTGGTTATGCCTCAGATTTTGTAGAGGCACCTCTTTTGACTTGTTGCTCCACATCATGTCAATTTATCTATTAAAAGAAAAAAAAAAAAAGTTATGTAAGAATCAAAGAGGTATAAAGTAAGAACAAATGTTATCTTATGCTAACCTTGATCACTATGATGAATTTTCACCTCATATGATTTCAAACTCAGATCACGAACATCAGCACGAAATCACAAATATGTTTACAGCTTGCACTTTTTTAGAAACCATGTAATTCTGTGCATAAAGAGGGTTTTGCTTTTGTTCTTGTATGTTACAGAGAAGAGTGAACTTGAAAAAAAGGAAACCCAGAAGTCATGCAATTTAGATCACAGTCATAAGTATTTCAGCAAATCTGAAGATGACCATACTGAAATACTGCACATGAAGGAGTAACAGAGACAGCACTATATGGATTATAGTAACAGACTATATGAGATATATGGATTAGAGTAACAGAGATATATGGATTAAAGTAATAGAGACAGTACAATATGGATTGAACCTACAAAATACCCAATTCTGCCAATAACAGATGAATGTGTCACCTCTATCTGTTAAAGGATCAGGCAGAACAGAATTGTATAGCAGGACGCTACAGCTGGGAAAAAAGACCGGAGCTGCCATGCTTTTCCTGTGTACTTCAGCAGCAATCTAAAAGAGTGTCATCAAAGGAATTTTTTTATAAGGGAGAAAAAAAAAAAAAGGAAAAAAGGTATGCAATCAGGAAAGGTAATTTTAAGAAAAGGCAGGTAATTTATGCAACTTTTTATTTCTCATTAGTTTCACTGGAAAGGCTGAGCTGCCCTCCTCAAAGTTGTAACAGACTTGAAAGAACTGCTATATAAGAAAAATAGTAAGTATAAGAAATCTAAGAGGAGTTCATGGAGCCAATAAGAACTCTGATTAGCAAGTACTGCCACTACCCTCTCACCAAGGACCTCCTGTCTTGGAGGTCATATGCTTGCATGTGGAAGCCACCACATGTGCTTACTGATCTGTCTTCACAACAGACTAAGGAGATTTCTGCGATGGAAAAGAAACAATTAGGTAACCATGATTTCATACAGGAAGTTCTAGACTTCTGAAAGAGTCATAAAGCACATTGTCCTCTCTCTTAATTTCTGAAGTTTTCTTTTGCTTTCATTTCCTTACAGAGCGTGCCACATAAAAAGGGCATTCAAATATACAGGTCATCCTTCTGAATAAAAGTGACGAAACATTCCACAAAATTAACACTGTGTACTACTTACTGACGCAAATCATTACCTGTGTATTTTATGACAAGGATTTTTATCATATATGGGTTCAAGGATACTCACAGTGACCAGCAGTGAAGCTTGGTCCTCACACTCAGTTATACAGCTTATCTCTAAGGCAGTAACTTACTCCACCAAAACTGTTCTTATGCCCCAAGACTATCAATAACAACAACACAGGTCTTCAAAAGACCTTTACTTGTGACTTTCTTTACAGAATACAAATACATGCTCAAAAGAGTGTGGAAAAGTGAGCTTATATATGTAGGTACAGAAAAACACGCATATATACAGAGTGACATCCACAATAACACAGAAGTAGAAAGAAGTAGGTGGTGTTTTGTTTTTCAAGTATCTAGTTACAGGCAGCAAGCCAAGTGAAGTTAGAAGATCCTGCTTCTAGGACAGGTGATGCAGAGCTCATTCATGCAACCACAGCTTTGTGCCCCACATCCTTCATGCTGTAAATCATAACACTGCCCTACCCTGGAAATCATCTAATTGATTTTCTCCATCACTGAAGCAAAGAGCAGTTATGTCAGAAATGTAGAAAAACAAGTATTAATAAAAATGGGGAATTTTTTTATACAGAATCAATTTTGAGAGCCACTGAAAATGTCATAACATACCATGATGTGTCTTGCCCAAACAAAAACATAAGACAACCTACTCAAAATGTAAATTTAGCGTAAGAGAACTTCTGAGAAAGCAACCATTTCTGAAGGGATTAAGTATTACTCTTCAGTGCTTGAAATTTATTTTTATCATCAGAATTACTGGTATAGGCAGGACAACTTAGGTACTAGACACAGGACATAACACCACTCTCTTCTACAAACACTATTCCTATGGGAAGACATGGAAGAGAACTGACAGATCAGAAAAACACTAGAGAGGAGGAAATGGAAACAAAGAGAAAACCACCATCAAATAAAAAAGATGAGAAACTACTATTACATTTACTAATAAGCATACCAAAGATGGTATTGAAGGTACAACAGATAAAATAACTAGTCAGTTAAGAGGACAGCATTTTAAAAGTAACAGGAGATATGAAAGTAGAATATGCTTAGCAAAGGTACACAAAAATGTGACGACATGAAAAACAGGGCTGCTAAGAACAGAAAGAAAAGTGGTGAGAGAAGCAGGATATAAAAAAAAAGAAGAGAATGGAGAAAGACAGGAAGGAGAGAAATGGAATGAACTTTTGAAGAACTGGCATAGAGAGCAGCAAAAAGGAAGAAAAGAAACCGGTATATTGGTCCATTTGTAAAGTTTTTCCAAATATACTCAGTATGATTTTTTTTTTTCCTTAGTAGTACAGCCTCCATAAGAAAAGAGAAAACTCAGAAGTCGTGGCATGGTACTCAAGCAAGGAAACAGGAGAGGAAGATGAATCATGCAGACACAAAAAGGCAGAGAATGTGAGCAAGAGATCACCCGCTGTTTTCACTGACATTTAGTGGTTATGCAAAAAAAACCCAGTATGCATAGGAAACAGTATTCCTCAAGAATTAATTTCTTATAAAAATTTCTTATAAAAACAGAAGGGATATGAAATGAAAGGGATACCACAAAAGAAAACATGAAGCTTTGCAAAAAGTAGGGAAAGCAACAAATTATTGATTTATGTCATATTCTTAAATGTTTAATCCCCAAGAAATGGGTATTGCTACAAACTGCTACAGTGCAGGGGCCAGCAATTCACAGAGTTTGAGCTACACTAAGGCAGCAGCGCCAATAAAATAAAGCCATCTTTTCCCTTCTTTATGCTTTGGTCGCTCTTGCCTTATTCAGACAGAAAATCAATGGGATTATGTGGTAAAGCAAAGCGGACTGGTAATCCGGTAAAGACAACAAGTAGCTTTTGGGGGGCTTTTTGCTTTACTAGTTTTATCTATGTCATACCATAAACTACAATCTCCCTGCAAGCAGAATGAGAAGGATGGAAACACTGGGGAACAGCCAGATCAGTCCCAGTCCTATAATAGCTACTGTGGCGTATCATAATCTACAGTGTTCCCCAAAAGCAAATGCTTGAGGCTGCTACTGCTTTCACCTTGAGGAGAGTGAGAGGGACCGAGGAAAACAAGAACTATTCCCATCACCTTCTTACCAGCGGAGACGCCACTGGAGCTCAAAGACACCAGGGGAGCCAGAGTCTATACACCTTGCTTTAGTGTGTCCCACTGCACCCATGCCTCGCACTGCGCAACTTGTCCATGGGGAAATAGACGTAGAGACATATGAAAGGTTTTAGGGATGTTTTCTTCCTGTTTATAAAAATATTTTAAGTTTCCATGTACAAATAATTGAAAGTTGACTTCTGAATCCTTAAAATCCCTCTGGAGCACGCATCTGTTCTGCTACAGTTCTGTGTTACTGGCAGTAACAAACACACACACAGGTGAGCAGACAAAAATCAGAGCAGGTCAAGCAAATTATTTTTCTGAGCCAGCCCACTGAAAGTGATGGAATTTCTATTTAAAGATGCCAGAACCACTTTCCATGTGTCCTCAAATACCACAGAATACAGTTTATGATGATATGCTTGACTGTGGAATACAAATACCTTTACCTACTCATTTTTCTGGAACCCAAGTTTTTAACAGATTGCATTATCCCATTTAAATGAGAGCTAAAAATAGCCATAATACACTAAGACATATATGTGTGTGTATATTGTTGCCCGAGAAGCTAGGGACCAGGTTAGGAAAGCTAAGGCCCAGGTAGAATTAAACTTAGCTAGAGGTATTAAAGATAACAGGAAGGGATTCTACAGGTACATAGCAAATAAAAAACAGACTGGGGAGAATGTAGCTCCCCTCAGGAAGCTCTCGGGAGAACTAGCTACACAGGATTTGGAGAAGGCTGAGGTTCTGAATGACTTCTTTGCCTCGGTCTTCACTGGCAAAGACTCTGACCAAACCACCAAAGTCTTGAAAGGCAGATGCAGGGACTGTGAGAATGAAGACCTTGCGCCCACTGTAGGAGAGGAACTGGTTCGAGACCATCTCAAAAATCTGAATGTGCACAAGTCATAGAATCATAGAATCGTTAGGGTTGGAAAGGACCTTAAGATCATCAAGTTCCAAACCCCCTGCCATGGGCAGGGACACCTTACACTAAATCGTATCACCCAAGGCCTCGCCCAGCCTGGCCTTGAACACTGCCAGGGATGGAACATTCACAACCTCCCTGGGCAACCTATTCCAGTGCCTCACCACCCTAACAGGAAAGGATTTCCTTCTTATACCCAACCTAAACTTCCCCTGTTTAAGTTTTAACCCGTTACCCCTTGTCCTGTCACTACAGTCTCTAATGAAGAGTCCCTCTCCAGCATCAGGAACTTCCTGATGAGATCCATCCGTGGGTCCTGAAGGAGCTGGCAAATGAAGTTGCTAAGCCACTGGCCATCATATTTGAGAAATCATGGCAGTCAGGTGAAGTTCCCAATGACTGGAAAAAGGGAAATATAACCCCCATTTTCAAGAAGGGGAAAATGGATGACCCGGCGAATTACAGACCAGTCAGTCTCACCTCTGTGCCTGGCAAAATCTTGGAGCAGATTCTCCTGGAAGGCATGCTAAGGCACATGAAAAACAACAAGGTGCTTGGTGACAGCCAGCATGGCTTCACTAAGGGGAAATCCTGCCTGACCAATTTGGTGGCCTTCTATGACGGGGCTACAGAACTGATGGACAGGGATAGAGCAGTTGATGTCATCTACCTGGACTTGTGCAAAACGTTCAACACTGTCCCACACGACATCCTTGTCTCTAAACTG